GAGGATATCATTTCCACCGAGCTCTTCACTTTACCACGGAAATCGCGACTCAACCAGTCATTTCCTTAAAGAATGCTTAATGGAAAATCTAATTCTTCCTACAGTCATCGCTGTTGGTAGATATGCCATCTGTTTGAGTCTCTGCGGGCATTTAAACGTGAAAAGGAAGCGGCAGAGTTAATGGGCGGAGGTTGATGCCAGTAGGAGCGTTGTCCGATTGGTGAATCGTTCTTATAGTTTGAATCTTTTTAATGATTCGGGTGAGCCGAATCACTAAACCGGTTAATGAACTGATAAGAGAGAAATCCAATCGCCCTAAACACTCAATCACGTCCATCCACTAATAATGTTCACTTGAAGGATTGAATGAAAACTCGGACAGCCATTGAGCAGCTGTAGACATGATGTCGACGCTCGCGGTGCAATATGTGACATCCGGTTTCGGACACCACTGCAAATGTCTGTCCCCTCAAATAATGCCGTATTCGGGGGTATGGGGGAGATTTCGGATTCAGCCAAGAACTCAAAGAATCTGATGATTAGGTTGTATTGGCAGAATTATGGCTTTAAAATTGAATTATGTTGTTTTACTCACCGTTTTATTACACAGATGAAATAGTTGCATTAGTAAGGTTCATTCGAAACGGTTTTGTCAGGCAACACTCAATGACGTGAACGCTATATACAATAATCGCTGAATTTATAAGAACCGTTTTTAAATGAACTGTTCGAAAGAACCGAGTCTCGGTGAGTCTGACTTCAAATGACACTTGTCGATAAGGAAATCACCCAATCTGGGCGTGGAAGAGCCGGGTCTCTCGTGTGACTCACGTTCAGATATTTCTCATACAGCTTTTTAAAAAACACACAGAAAAACTCGTAATTAATTCGTATTCCGTATTCCGTCATTAACTGATTTATGTAAACTATATGAAAAAGAACCAACACTCCTCTCAAAAATAGCTTCAGCATGAGTACCTATACATATCTGTATGAAATGCACTAAAGCTTTAAAGGTTGGCATTGCCACATATCATTCTTTCATTATCATGTACTTTTAGAACCACGAGTTTCCTGTGTCCTTTTGTTCTATTTTCCTGCCACTCCTTGGTTACCGTCATTATGAGTTATGTGTTTCAGTTGTGTTTGTTTATCATCACGTTAGTGTTTGCTTTATAAGTTGTGTCCTCACAGTCACTCTTTCTCTAGTTGCTGTCTATGTTAGAGAGGTTTTGGTTTGTTTGTTTGTTTGTTTTTGAGGGTCAGATGACCAGACCCTCAAAAATGAGAAGAATGGACTTTGCATCAATCAAGGGCAATATAATTTTGGATGGAGGGACAGTTTTTATGTTCCAGAGTGGCAGAGCGATACGTGGATTAGTTCCTCGATATCTGCTATCTTGCCACCTGCGACAACTTCTGTCTAATGGATTTTGACAGACTTCCCTTAGACAACTTCTGTCTAATGGATTTTGGTGTGGTCTGGACAAAGATCTCTGTTTCGTCATGCCCCGTGGCGATCCCTGCTGGACCCTAGAAGATTAGATCAACTTTGCACTGTGGACGAATGGATCCGTGCTCACTGTGGGCGAAGTGCAGGATAACATCAGTCTCATCCAGCCACACCTCACAGATGTCCTGCAGCCTACCACCACCCTCAACTGAGGAGATTTTGTTTGAGCCCCCCGCAGGCGGAGAGCTTCAGCCTTCCGCGATGTGTGAGCCAGACCCCTTTAAAGAAAGGGCCCCGCCGACCATTGCCCCGGAGCCCCAGAGAGAGACCGAGGTGTGATCCAGCGAATTCTGCAGAAGGAATTTTGGTAGAATTCGAAACTGAGGATTGGCTGATAAACTGGGACACTGAGGTATGCCCCCCACTCTGAATCATTTGTCTATCCTTCTTCATCTGTTCTTCATCACTGTTTCATGACAGCACTGACACGGTTTCATTTACCTGTTGGGAATTGGAATTACCGTTATTGATCCTGTCCATCTTCTCTCGCTCACTCTCTCCTCAGAGCTCAGCCAGTCCTCCAGCTCCTCCTCTGCCGCCCTTCGCCTTCCCTGGGAACGCCTTGCTGCGATGTGAAGACTCAGGTCGTGCAACCACCATTAAGTGCCTGAGCAAGTGGATCCTGTGGCTCCGCTTCCAGCCTCTGATCCCTTTGCTCCACCTCGACCTGTTGGCTTCACCTTGACTCCTTCCACCCTCAGCTCCACCAGAGACCATCGACCTTGCAGCTTCACCAGGTTCCCTCGTCAGTACATCAATCCTTTGTCCTTAGTGTTTATATTTTAGACCTGTCAGGATGGTTTTTGCACTAAATTGCGTATACATTGCGTATACAATTGTGTACTAGGGGTACACTAGGGGTGTAACGATACACGTATTCATATTGAACAGTACGAGGCTTTCGGGTTCGGTTTTCGGTACGCATTTTTAAACCGAATGGTCCGTTGGACCATTTTTCCTGCTGACCAACATTTCGTTTTTTCAAATGTAGGCGCGTTGTGCGTGGCAAGCGCGCTCATAGATGCTGGCGCGACCACAACTTTGCCCAACATCAAATGACAAATGTAATGTAAGCGGAATGAAACTGAGCTACTCGTTATTGTGTGGTTGACGAACCGTTTATCAGTTTTGACCAATGCAGCGCGAGCCAATCTTGATCATCAGCGCTGTTACTACACAGCCAAATCCAGTAAAGAAAGCATTTTAATTCGCCACTTAAGTAATAACATCGCTGCGAGATCTAGTGAGAAACATTTACATTTCTCCGTTATCAACGGATCAAACCGCGCGACATAAACCACAGATCAGCAACATTCACCATGGGTTTACTGTACTAATACTACTAACTGTAACCATGGAAGTTTGGCAGGAATAGTAGGCTATAATGCTTTCAAGTAACATTACGTCGGTTTTATTTTTACATTTATTTTGACAATTGCTGCCCTCAAATGTTAATCTGAACTAAACCTTTGTTTATAACTACAACAATATTACATTTCATTTTGTCCAAGGAGCTGTTTTGCTTTATATGGTCCTAAGAAAAGTCAAGTATAGCTCCATCAATGCTCAAAGTAAAAAAAAAAAAAAATCATACTTTATGATGTTAGTTTTAATAAAAAGATAATTAAAAAAAAATGATATCAAGGACATTTCTCTGGCATTTCTTTCTTTTTGCTGTATCGATTCGAAAACGTACTGAACCGTGACACAAGTGTATTGTATCGAACCCAACTGTGAATTTTGTGAACCGTTACACCCCTCTATCTTTAAATAGAGAAAAATTGATCCAGCTACTTTGACACATAGTGTGTGTGGGATTGGCATGAATTAGTTGTCACAACAAGTGAGAAAGGTTGACACGGAGCACGATAAATCTCGAACCTCTGGGGAATCACCCATTTGAAAAAAAAAAAAAAAAAATCAAGCTGGCGAATCAAGAACATGACTGAGCTCGAATTAAAACAAGAATCAACAATGGCTTGCCTTTTTAGACATGGTGAGAACTGAGGTATTTGAAATGTTGTAAAAGCAATGCGGAGATGGTGTTTTTATATCTCAACAGGACAGGTGAGTAAAGTGTTTTACTGAACAGATAAATTGTCATATGTAGCTCTAACAGAGTTCAGTGTCAAGCATTATCTATCGTTGAAGGGTCATTTCATTATGGTTGTTGTCTTCAGCTAGTCAGCTTGAGGTCCTTTCCATCTAAACTGTTGACAGCTCTTGGCCTGGTAATGTTTTATGAGCAGAAGGATAACCATATTCATCCACAGAGCTGAAGCATAACAAAAACACTGTTCTTCAGCAAAATGCTATATACTGTAACTTTTTAGTGTCAAAAATTGTGTGTATTGTATATTTATCCGTTTAAATTTTACACAGCCAACCTAGGATTTACAGATTTAAAAAAAAAAAATAAAATGTAGAAACTGAATTAAAAAAGTATGAGACATTTAAAGAGCATAATGTTTTGTTTTTTTTGCCACTTTGTCATTGATGGTAAGATCTTCTTACCATCAATGACCTGTCAAATATTACTCACTCCATGACAATATGCAAAAGATTGTAATCATATACTGTTTACTTCAATCATACCACATATGAAAAAGGAACTGGGTCTAGTTTATCCTTTATAAAAAAAAACTAAACAAACAAAAAAGTACAGCATTTCTAAAAAAGCACACATGCACACAAAACTGATGTAAACAGCTCTTGGTAGATTATTCATTGCAATTCAAAGGAAGAAGCGCACAGTAAATATGCAGAAGGTAGAGAATACCCAGAAGTGCCTTTGTTAAAAGATGAAAATCGTTATAATGGGTGAGTCAGAGGAAGTAGTGGCCATGAATGCCATGTTTTATAGTGTTTCAAACAATATTAACAGTGCATTAGTTCATCATTAAACTCAGTAATGCTGTGTGGGTTTTCTCGGCAGAGATGTGTTCCCATTATCAGGCACCACAATGTGTGCCTTATGCATAAATCATCACTCTGGCCAGTTCTCTAAAGTGATCTGACCATGCCATTTTTGAGTCTGTGAAAATTGTGTGCTTATATAGGCTGTCCACAATATTTTGCCCTGAGAGTCTAAAAAATGAATAAATATACAAACAAAACATTTTCTCTTTTCAAAAAAAAAGAAAAAAAAAAAAAGAAAATCATCCACATCCATATATATATATTAGGGCTGTCAAACTATTAATCGCGATTAATCGCATCCAAAATAAAAGTTTGTGTTTACATAATATATGTGGGTGCACTGTGTATAATTATTTTGTATATATATATATATATATATATATATATATATACACACACATGCATATATATTTAAGAAAAAAATATTATTATATAAATTTTTGATATTTATATATAATATAAATTATATCTATAAATCTAGTAACAGTATGAAAATATTTCTTAAATATAAATATATATACAATCATGTGTGTGTATTTATATATAATAATTATACACAGCGCACCCACATATATTAGGCTAAAACTCAAACTTTTATTTTGGATGCGATTAATCATTTGACAGCCCTAATATATAATGTTAGATGCTGTTAATCGTAATGAATCGAGTTGACAGCACTAATATATACACTAATATGATAATGTATTGTGGTTCACTGGCTCTAGCATACTGCATAAGCATCCATGTAGAAGCTAATTTTAAGGTAATTTTTAAGTTTAAGGTGTGCTTCAAACATTCAGTTCAGTTACTGAAAGAGAGGGAGACAGTAAGCCTACCTAAAATTAAAGCCACGTCTCTTGTAAAATGCATTACATTGTGTTTTATAAGCGATAAACCACAATAGCTTACGAATAGATCTTATATTTAAAATGCATTGTGGTTTCGAAAAGGCTGTTAACATGGTTAAGATGAAAACCATCTCAAGAAGCCCAAAACACCCCCTCTGTGAGCAGTGGATTGCTAATGCCTGTTTCATAGCTTCATCAACACTTGTTTGTGAATATTTTAGGCTGGGTATTCAGCTCCTCAGTTCGGGTCTCAAGGGATGAACAGATATCACACTTCGAAACTGATCTCCCGCGAGCGTCCAAACAGAGGTTCAGTGAGCAGCTGTGTGTCTGAGTAGCTACGCCTCAGGTGTGTGGAGCTCCTAGTGGTTTTGATGGCCACCTCATAAGGCGGAGGTGGTTCCATGTCCCAGTGAGGAGGCCGACCCCGACTGGTAGGGCTGAAGCAGGCTGGCTCCATGGGGGGGTAGTCCAAATCATCACCATATACACATCGCCTTTGCACAGTCCTTCAAAATATAATCACACATTATTATTATTAATATGATCATAATACAATATATTTATCAATTTATATTTTTAATATTAATATATTTATATATTACTCTGGACCTGGATAACTGGGACCTAAATGAATGATGGTTTTATACAGTTTATCAACACTAGAGGGCCTTTCAGTATCAGATAACAGCGCAGAGGAGCAGCAGCAGTTCTTAGACTTCTCATCTAAGTGATTTTTAATGACATCTGAGGGTGAGGGAGAGGGGGAAAAGAAAGGGATATGGCTCAAATCTGGATGGATAAGAGTTATGGGTGGAAAAGTACCATTATATCCATGTTTTGAAAAAGGTTTGTGAGAGGAAGTTTGAGTTCAGAGAGATTTAGAATATTAGATTTGGGTGTTGGAATACGTGCAATAATACAACACACACACACAGCCTTTAAGAATTAGGATATTTTTCATGAAATGTGTTACAAAGTAGTTTATTTCTGTTTGCAATTGTATATGTAACACACACAGGTTACATGTATTTACTATAGCAATAATAACTATAAGGCATAATTACATGCAACTAACCATAAACCAAACCCTAATCCTACCCTAACCCTATAAGTAGCCTTCATAGTTAATTAATATAAGTAGCCTACTTAAATGTATAATTACACTGTAACAACAAGGGCACCTTAAAAAGTGTAACCATACTTTACTTTGTAATTTTAAAAAAGCTGCATTAAAATGGAAATGAGTTTATGCGTGCACATCTACGGATAAGCTACTTTGATAATACAAAAATTGTTAGGCTACTGAGAAAATCTGGCTTTTTTGACTGAGAATTTGGGGGTCCCTAAAACTGCAAAGTTTGATAATAGGCTAAGTAGGCTATGGCTGTATTTATAACGCACTTTTCATTTGATCAAACATCATTTTATGATCATTGATGATGCGATTCTCCAAACTTACCCGTGCAGAAAGACGGACTGGGATTCGGGGATGTGGTTCCCGGCCGGTGGGGTGAACATGACTTGACTGTAGTCGTGGCTGTACTCTTCATTATAAGGAACCGGGGTTCTCTTGCCGTTCATAGCCCAGAAAAGTCCTAAAATGAGCATCACCGCCCCGAGCACCACACAGCACATGCTGAACGCCTGCAGTCGATGTTGATTAGAAGTTAGAAAAGCGGTGGAACCACCGGTGACTATTAAAAATACTCCAATAAAAATAGCGCCATGATGTAGTGAAGGCATAATGTAAGATCATTGATCTATCTGGAATGGTCCGCGCGCATCTTCTTCCAGCTTCAGGGTGATATGACTCCAGGGTCAACCGTTCTGCATTGGTTCAATTTTAAAGGAAATAGTTTCATATTACACACTATCTTGATTTAGTCACTTAGCAAAAAAAAAAAAAAAAAAAAAAAAAAAAAAATAGGACATAAAAGGCATTATAGAAGTGTAACATTGCCTGCACTTGATGGAGTTGCCGTTCACGCGCATTAGGTTCAGTCCATGCTGTCAAATGAGCGCAGCTGCTTTTCTGTCAAACTCCTCTGTCATTATAAGAGCATCATTAGAGTTCATGCCCCACCCAAGAGCCGCCTGTAGGCCAGATGGTTATTGGCATGAATTTATGAAAAATTATGATTACCAACAAGGCATGTAGATCCTTAAGGAGATATTTAGGCTACGTGGCGAACTTAAACCCTTTTAAAATAGATTTGTCTCGTATAAACATGTTCAAATATATATATATATATATATATATATATATATATACAGTAGCCTATACACGCACATAGCTTATTGTAAAAAAAAAAGTAATAGAGTGAAATATTATTAGAATTTAAAAATTACGGTTCTCTTACGAGAGGTTCTCTCGTATTGCGTAAGCTAGCTCACGCTATGGGGAAAGATTCATCTTTTCTGAGAAGTTGAAGCCAAAAAATGATTCCATAATTTGTATCCATTGTCAACGCAGTTCCGCTGCAGCAGACCATGAGCGGGCTAGCTAGCAGCTCATTGTTTCGCTCAGAGAGAGCTGCTTAAGCCTATGGGAGAGCCGGGCTGAACTCGCGAGAAGCAGGCACGCTCTCATTGCGTCAGAGCCCGCCAGAAAGGGCATGGCTAGAAAGTATAAATTCGACTCTCTCAGGCTGTTAAGTTGATTATTTCATCCTTCAGCGAGCTACACGCTTCCACTGTTTGAGAAAAGCCGTCGCCGTCGAGAAAGCACCTTCTAGCGAGCTCCGGAGACTGAAGAAGGCGGCCGTCTTCGCTACCTTCAGCCGCCCAGCAAGCTGGCGCCATCCGACGACATGTATCCTTTCCTCTTCCTGCTAAAAGAGCTTGAGCGTCTTTTTAAAGATGCCTCAAAATGTCTGTGGTTCTTGCCACGCTCCTCTCGAGGACAGAGATCGGCATGTCATCTGCGCCCTCTGCCTCGGATTGGAGATTCTCCAGAGCGACATTCTAGATAGGGGTAGGGGGTAGAATAAAGGTTTTTGAATAAAGCGCTCATGAGGAGACCGTTCAAAATGCTTACAGTCAAAATACAACTCGCGCACGTGCGCTAGGGCGACTGGTTCATCTCTCTAGACCTGAAAGATGCCTATTTTCAGATCCAGATAAATCCCCGTCACAGGCCGTTCTTACGTTTCGCCTTCGAGGGTCAAGTTTATCAATACGCCGTACTCCCGTTCGGCCTTTCTCTAGCACCCCGTACCTTCACGAAGTGCATGGATACAGCGCTCGCTCCTCTGCGTCGTCAGGGGCTGCGTATATTAAACTATCTGGACGACTGACTGATTTTGGCACAATAACAGGCGTAGCTTCTGTCGCATCGCGCAGTTCTCCTCGACCATCTGAAAACGTTGGGTCTCTCTGTCAACTGGAAAAAAAGCTCCCTTCAACCCAGTCAGACTATTTCCTTCCTGGGGATAGAGTTGAACTCGGTCACTATGACGGCTCGCTTGTCTACACAACGCACGTGCAGTGTTCAGCGACTAGCTGCTTCATTTCAGATGGGCACCCGCACACCTCTGAAATCCTTTCAGAAGATGTTGGGTTATATGGCCTCAGCCTACGCTGTGTTTCAGCTGGGCCTTCTGCAATGCGCCCACTTCAGTTCTGGTTAAAGGGTCGTCTGTCTCACCGTGCATGGATCACAGGCCGCCAGCTGATCAAGGTTACGCAGACATGTCTCATGGCACTGCAGCCATGGACAGTGGCAGATTGGTTTCAGCGGGGCGTCACCATGGGGACCTTCTCCCGCTGAAAAGTCATCTCGACAGACGCATCCAACACGGGTTGGGGTGCGGTCTGCGAGGGCTCACCTGCCTTCGGCCATTGGTCGACTCAGGAAGGCTCCTTGCACATAAATTGTCTGGAAATGCTCGCGGTCGAAAATCCTCCCGCTCATTCGGGGTCACCACGTCCTGATCCGTTCGGACAACACGGCCATGGTCTCAACCGTCAAGGCGGGGTCAGATCCAGGAATCTCTTCCTTCTGACACACCGCATCCTAGTTTGGTCCCAGAGCCACCTGCTCTCGCTCAGAGCGACGCACGTGCCGGGCCATCTGAACGACGGCCCAGACATACTGCCCAGGAACCTCATCTCCCCCGGAGAATGGTCCCTGCACACCCAAGCAGTACAAATACTGTGGCGGTTATTAAGCAGAGCAGAGGTGGATCTCTTCGCGTCAGAAGAGAACGCTCACTGCCCAATATTCTTCTGAAAGAGCGAGGACGGGCTAGCCCAGGACTGGACCCGCCGCCCGCTCTATGCTTTCCCCCCAATCTCTCTGTTACTTCAGGTAATACAGAGGATCAGGGACACATGCCACTCGGTGCTCCTCATAGCCCCGCGTTGGTAGAGTCAGACTTGGTTCCCGGAGCTCATCCAGCTGTTGCAGACAGCCCTGTGGCCCATTCCAGTCAGAGCAGATTTTCTCTCTCAAGCTCGCGGCACGATCTGGCATCCACATCAACAGCGCTGGGCGCTACATGCACTGGTGACCAGCGACTACTTGTCGATTTGCCAGAAGGAGTTTTAAACACGATTATGCACGCCAGAGCGGCTTCTATCAGGAAGCTCTATGCGTCTAAATGGTCTGTGTTCTCCAAATGGTGCACCGACAAAAACTTGGACCCACGGTCGTGCGAGGTATTGTCTTTGCTCGTTTACCTTCAGGAGATGCTGGATAAGGGCAGTATCCCCATCCACTCTCAAGGTTTACGTGGCAGCTGTCGGGCGTTCACTGAACCCAGACACGCTCAGTCTCTGGGCAAAGACGAGCTAATCATCCGCTTCCTAAGGGGAGCTAGAAGGTTGAACCATCCGTGCCCCCCTTCGGTTTCTATTTGGGAACTTTCTATAGTTCTCGAAGCTATGAAAGCCCCCCGTTCGAACCGCTCGAGTCCTTGGACCTTAAATATCTCTTGCTCAAAACCGTTTTTTTGACTGCTCTGTCCTCAGTAAAACGTGTGGGGGACCTTCACGCGCTCTCGTCTAGCGCTGCGTGTCTTGAGTTTGGACCTAATGACTCTGTTGTCAATCTCAAACCTAGGCATGGCTATGTCCCTAAATCGATTGGTACCCCGTTCAGGGCTCAGGTTATCTCTCTATCAGCTCTGCCCGCATTCGATAGCGAATGTGATGCCAATCTCCTCTGTCCAATTCGGGCTCTGAGATTGTACACTACACGCACTGCTGCGTTCAGACGTTCTGAGCAGCTGTTTGTGTCTTTCGGGGTGCGTACCAAGGGTCTGGCCGCCTCTAAACAGACACTGTCTAGATGGATAGTGGATGCTATTGCCTCTGCTTACGCATCTAAAAGCCTGCCTTGCCTGCTGGGCATCAGGGCTCATTACACTAGAGGCATGGCCTCATAGTGGGGGTGGTCCTGTGGAATTTCCATTCACGACATTTGCGTGGCCACGGGATGGGCTTCCCAGTCCACCTTTGTCAGATTTTAAAATCTGGAAGTTCCCGCCCTACAGGCTAAATTACTAGCTGTCTAGTATACTTCAGCTCCTCTGATGAGCTGCACTATTGGGAGTCACTCTCACAACCGGTGGTACACAATGTAGTACACAATCACGGGCCCGCTTTGCTGGCTTATCACTTTACATTCACTCCTCTCATAAAGGTCCCCCGGCGCACGGGGTTGACCAGGTGTTACCGTAGCGTAAGCTAGCTTCTCCAAATGGTGCACTGACAAAAACTTGGACCCACGATCGTGCGAGGTATCGTCTTTGCTCGTTTACCTTCAGGAGATGCTGGATAAGGGCATGTCCCCTAAACTAATCAGTTACCTAACGTAACCTCGGTTCTCTCTAGATGAGGGAACGAGTATTGCGTTCCTGGCCGTGCTTGTGCTACTAGCGTTTTCGCTTCACTCTGAAAAAATTAACTTAACAGCCTGAGAGAGCCGAATTCATACTCTCTAGCCACGCCCTTTCTAGCGGGCTCTGACGCAATGAGAGCTCAGCCCGGCTCTCCCATAGGCTTAAGCAGTTCTCTCTGAGCGAACCAATGAGCAGCTAGCTAGCCCGCTCATGGTCTGCTGCAGCGGAACTGCGTTGACAATGGATACAAATTATGGAATAATTTTTTGGCTTCAACTTCTCAGAAAAGATTAATCTTTCCCCATAGCGTAAGCTAGCTTACGCAATACTCGTTCCCTCATCTAGAGAGAACCGAGGTTACGTTAGGTAACCGATTCATTTTCTATTTTCATATACTTTCAAATATAGGCTAATTCATTTCTGTGATGCAAAGCTGATTTTTCAGCATCATTAGGGCAACTCCAGTCTTCAGTGTCACATGATCCTTCTCAAATCGTTCTAATAGGATGATACTATTTCACAATATGACTGTTTTTTTTTTGATCAAATAAATGCTCGTCGTGATGAGCAGAAAAATCTTCTTTCAAACAAATTAAAAGTATGCTAATGTTTCCAAACGTTTGACCGATAGGCTACTGAAATACACACACACTGTAGGATAGGCCTGGTTCCTTTCTAAATATTTTGCGAAAAATATAAAATGTTCTAGGAACATGGCCTTTAGGGTTTTTTTTTTTTTTTACAACCATTAAAATAATGTTATCAGAACGTTCAAGTAGCCTAAAGTTAATGTTAGCCATGGACCTTATTTTAATAAGTTAGAATCCGCTAAAAAACACTTTACTGAGGTAAACCTGGAAAATAAATAGATAAATAGCGCATTATAATATTTGAACCATCTTTTAAATTGTATCTTTAAAAATATCAAGAGATAAGCTCAGCAGGTCAGACATGTGCCTGTAACGGTAACCCATTCTCTGACTCGTCACCTCATTTCTCAGTTGCTGCATGATAATGTATGAACTCATCGCACCGAGTCAATGGTCTGACGGTGATTCTTTCTTGCGATTGGCTGAAGAGACGATACGAAACCACTGGCGTCATCTGATTTGACGCTCAACTGACCAATCACCACATGCTGGGGGCGGTGCTCAGACCACCTGGAAAATACATGCAAAATATAATGACAAATCGTAAGCGTGCAAGTAGTGAGAAGAAAGGTCGCATTACGAATACAAGGCGACTAAATTGACAGTTTACTAGACCGCGTTAATGCACGTGTTTTTATGTTCGTCCGTTGTAAATACAAATAAAAGCATTTACCAAAGCAAAGTTAAGAAACAAGCTCCATGCTCTCTTAAACTCCATTGAAATTAGGCGACTCGTGATTTAAAAAGCTGTCGGAATGGATCCGTTGTTATATTTAGGTGGGTTAGTTGTTTTGTTTTTGTTATGGATTAAAGTAAAGGGCTTGGAGTACGTGATAGTACACCAGAGATGGATCTTTGTTTGCCTCTTTCTCCTCCCCTTATCCGTGATATTTGATGTGTACTATTACCTGCGCGCGTGGATCATCTTCAAGATGTGCTCAGCGCCCAAACAGCACGACCAGCGAGTCAGAGACATCCAGAGACAGGTACGACAAAACCTCCTGCTTTAGCTTGTTCTATAGATTTTATAGCCTACTGTACTTTCATATCTGTAGTATGAATATATTAAACTTCAATGATGCACTAAAGCAAATCAGGATCTAAGTGTATTTTTCTGTTCAATATTTATTCAGTAGGCTAGCCTAAATCAGTGAGATTGATCATGCATTCTGCATTAAAATTTGAAATTCATGTAGAGCCCAATACTAATGAGTACATGAAAAACATGAAATGTGCCATAGCTGTTAGGTGGGAGCCTCTTACATTAAACGCCTAAATTAAAAAAACAAACAAACAAACAAACAAAAAACCGATAATAAAAAGTTGTAAGCATGCATGGGGCGATATAGGGGCGTGGCCAAAAAGCTTTGGTGCACCTGTCATGGCAACTAAAAGTAAAACAATTTAAAATCGTTTCTGGTAATTGAAATAAAGCTAAAATAAAATATAAATATTATAAAAAAATAGAATGACAATAAAGAACTAAAGTTTCTAAAACTGAAAAAAAAATTATGCTACATAGAATTATTAAAATTAACTAGCACATAACACAATTAACAACACTGAAACTTAAAACAATAAAAAAAAATAGAAAATTAACAACTGAAATTATGAAACTGAACTAAAAATGTAAGCTAAATAGTAATAAACACTATAATATTATATAATTACCAAAATAACACTGAGGTGCAAATCAAATTGAACTTGAAATTGCTTGAAACATAGTAGTACAGTATGTGAAAGATATACAAAATAGTGTTGCTGTTTTATTGTAGTTATTGCGGAATAAATATTAAAAAATAAATAAGGTTTTTAACTGGGGTTCATAGATGAGAACACATTACTCCTGTATTGTTGTCTCTAAATTGGTTGCCAGTGTGTTATAGAGCTGAATTTATAACTTTTTTACTAGTTTTTAAGGCTTTGACTGGTCTGGCACCATCCTATCTGTCAGATCATGTAAATGCGATTTTTGGAAAGTTGCGAGGTGATCGTGCGTTTTCAGTGGCCGGTCTTAGGATATGGATCAGTCTTCCCTTATCTGTGAGGTCTGCAACGTCTGTACATGAATTTACATCTAAGCTACAGTCTTATCTTTTTTACTCTTGCATTTTATTCATAACTTTGGTTTCTCTAAACCCTGAACTACTGTTTTATTGTCTGTTATTACTGTATTGTGTGTGGTTTGTTTTATACTTCTTAATTGGTACAGCACAGTGTGTCTTTATTTGTGCTTTATAAATAAATGAATTAAAGATTAAGAATCCATAAACTTGATGAGACTGATGCAGTTTGATTTTAATAAAATGTGATGATTTCAATGTTCCAGGTGCGAGAATGGAAAAAAGAGGGGGGAAAGAAGAAATATATGTGCACAGGTCGTCCAGGATGGTTGACTGTGTCCCTCAGGGTCGGAAAATACAAGAAGACGCACAAAAACATCATGATTAACATGATGGACATCCTGGAGGTGGACACAAAACGGCAGGTAGCTGTTGCCAAATATGCATTTTTATACAGCAAAATAGAAATCTTCTCCTCATTAAAAGTTTGGAAAGAAAATGCTTTAATTGGACAGTTAAAATGTATATGGAGGTAGATAATGATTTCAAAAATAATTTGCATCATATGTGATTATTAAAGTTAATGTAAAGAGAGGAAATTTACCATTGTTACAAACAACAAATCGTGCATTTACCAATTTTCCAGGTGGTGCGTGTTGAACCTTTAGCTAACATGGGTCAGGTGACCGCTCTGCTCAACTCTATTGGCTGGACACTGCCTGTGTTGCCTGAACTTGATGACCTCACAGTTGGTAGGTCATGAGAGAGAATCTATAATTAAACAAATGTTTAAAGTGGCCTTTTATTATGCTTTTTTGGGATATTATGTTTCATGTAATTTGATATAGCCGTTTGTGAAGGTCAGCAATTTTTTTTTCCTTCAACAACGTCTATAGTTTGACCCTCGAGCACCGTAGTTGTAGCTAAGGCCTGGAAGAGTTTGGTTCATGTTGTCGACATGTCGAGAAGACTCTGTTGTCAGCGTTATGAAAGCAAATGCACTTTAAAAGGAAAAGGACACCATCGTTACTGTTAGCATCACTGTGTACAAGTGCTGAGGAAGCCTCCGGAGCTGAAATTCATCCAGGGTAAACTCTTGCACATGACTGGATAAATTCAATAATACATATACAAAAAGGGTTCTCAGACTTTCCCAGCATCTGTGTGTTAAGCCTAGTTGTTTGTTACTAAGCCTCAGATTACAGCAAACTCTTATTTATGTGGCGTCTAGATGCATTTGAGCATTTTCTATTCAGCACACCGTAACACTTCTCTCCATTTAGATGAATATTGTAGGTCACCTCTGATCTGAATAATCTCTCCCTCTCCTTCCTCATGCTCCGCAAGGGATTTGTGTAATGTCTCTGAGCACTTGCAGATATTCGCTTTCTCTAAATGGAGCATAACGTTCTCTCCTGATCAATATTATATGTCATGTGTGGTGCATCAGAGGCTGCTCCTAATCAGGTTTCAATGAGGCATATTAGATTTGGGGCGGATACGGGTCCTATTGCTGAAAGTGTTTATAGATCCCAGAAAAGAGCGCTCATTGGCGGAGAATTGTTTTATACTCAGTCTGCTTCAAATTCATTTGTAATTCTGTAGAGGCGAAGTGCTTAGTAATAAGACATGGGAAAGGTGTGTTGTGTTTGTGAAGTGTTGGACGACAGGAGATATTTCTGGCCACATGTATTGATTCCTATATCTTTGAAACTGTAAGCGCCGTATCTAAGCAATAGTTTTATCCAATACCATTTCTGAAAGCAGTTTAGAGCTGTTCATCTACAATCAAAGGTCATTTATTTGTACTTTTGATCCTTTCTTTTTAGCTCCCATTTGGCACTTTTCCAAATTTGTATTATCAGTGTATTTTGGGGCTATTTTTGTCCCCATCAAGTGTTTGAAAGTGTCTCTCTCATGATTCAGGTGGGCTGGTAATGGGAACAGGCATTGAGTCTTCATCTCACATCTACGGCCTGTTCCAACACATTTGTGTGGCCTTTGAGCTGGTGTTGGCTGATGGTAGTCTGGTCCGCTGCACTGAGGTGAGTCCATTGTTACAGAGAATATAAAATACACACACATAGATGTGTTAAAAATCTTTGTTAAAACAAAATTCTTGCTCACAGAAAGAAAACTCTGACCTGTTCTATGCCGTTCCTTGGTCCTGCGGGACTCTGGGGTTTCTGGTTGCGGCGGAGATCCGGATAATCCCAGCTCAAAAATGGGTGAAGCTTTGTTACGAGCCTGTACGAGGCTTGGATGCTATTTGCAAGAAGTTTGCAGAGGAATCAGCCAATAAGGAGAACCAGTTTGTGGAGGGACTGCAGTACTCTCGGGACGAGGCTGTGATTATGACGGGCACCATGACAGATTATGCAGAGCCTGACAAGGTGATAATGAAAATTCAGTAATCTGAATGGTTTAGTACTTTTTTATATGACCCCTATGTGATCTATGGAAGCTTGTTTCTGCCTTGGATTAAAAAAACAATAAAGGTAATTGCGACTTTTATGACTATTTTTCTTGCAATTACGAGTTTATATTTAACAATTCTGCAAATGAAAAAAAATCAGTCAGAATTGTGAGGGAAAAGTCAGAATTGCTTGTTAAACTCATAATATTGAGAGAAAAAAAATCTAAATTCTTTTAAATTCACAATTGTGATAAAAAGTCCAAATTCCTTGTTAAACTTTCAATTCTGAGGGGAAAAAATCTGAATTCTGCTAAACTTGCAATTGTGAAGAAAAGCAAGTCAGAATTGAGTTTTAAACTCACAATTCTAAGAAAAAAAGGCATAATTGAGTTTTAAACTTGCAATTTTAAGAAAAAAAGGCAGATTTGAGTTTTAAACTTGCAATTCAAAGAAAAAAAGTCAGAATTGAGTGTTAAATTCACACTTGTGAGAAAAAGTTCAAATTCCATGTTAAACTTGAAATTCTGAGAGAAAAAAAATCTGAATTCTGCTAAACTTGCAGTTGTGAGGAAAAGCAAGTCAGAATTGAGTTTTAAACTCGCAATTCTAAGAAAAAAAAGGCAGAATTGAGTTTTAAACTCGCAATTCTAAGAAAAAAAGTTAGATTTGAGTTTTAAACTCGCAATTCTAAGAAAAAAGTCAGATTTGAGTTTTAAACTCGCAATTCTAAGAAAAAAAAGTCACATTTGAGTTTTAAACTCGCAATTCTAAGAAAAAAGTCAGATTTGAGTTTTAAACTCGCAATTCTAAGAAAAAAAGTCAGATTTGAGTTTTAAACTCGCAATTCTAAAAAAAGGCAGAATTGAGTTTTTAACTTGCAATTCTAAGAAAAAAAAGCCAGTATTGACTATTAAATTCACAATTGTGAGAAAAAGTCCAAATTCCATGTTAAACTTGAAATTCTAAGGGGAAAAAAATCAGAATTCTGCTAAACGTGCAGTTGTGAGGAAAAGCAAGTCAGATTTGAGTTTTAAACTTGCAATTTTAAGATAAAAAGGCCTTATTGAGTTTTAAACTCACAATTTTAAGAAAAAAGGCAGAATTGAGTTTTAAACTCGCAATTCTAAGAAAAAAAGGCAGATTTGAGTGTTAAACTCACAATTGTGAGAAAAAGTCCAAATTCCATGTTAAACTTGAAATTCTAAGGGGGGGAAAATCTGAATTCTGCTAAACTTGCAGTTGTGAGAAAAAGCAAGTCAGATTTGAGTTTTAAACTCGCAATTCTAAGAAAAAAAGGGAGAATTGAGTTTTATACTCACAATTTTGAGATAAAAATTTGCATTTTAATTTTTTTATTCTGTGGCAGAAACAAGTTTCTATACCCACATTCCTCTTCACATATTGGCAATGGCCCACTCTATCAATGACACTGATGTGATTATTATGAAAATAAATCCCATTTTACAAAGAATCCCCATTGTAGTTTCAATCCGATTCTTTTTCTCTCTGTCTTTCCCTTTGTCTGTTAGACTAACTGTATAGGTTACTATTTCAAGCCGTGGTTCTTTCGGCATGTGGAGGGTTTCCTCAAGCAGAACCGTGTAGCAGTGGAGTACATCCCTCTCCGGCACTACTACCACAGACACACTCGCAGCATTTTCTGGGAACTACAAGTAAATTACTCAACAAATATGCCTTTTTTCATATTAGTTTTTTAAGAAATAATAGCAATAACTGTCAATATCTTGCTTTGCATTTGGAATATTAATAATATCAGACTCATATTGAAACAGCTATAGTTTTAACTTTCAATTTGATTTTTGGTTTGTGGTGTACTGTACACTTCAAATGCATCAAGAGTTTAAAACACTTAGTCAGACACATACACTTCCTCCTCTATGGGATAGCATTAGCGTACGCATTTTTCACTTGTCCCATAATGCATAGTTAAAGAGACAACTGTTATTCTTCTCTTCCATCTTAATAAAGCAACTTTACCCATCTTTCTCACTCTAAAACATTCTCACACACAGTTTTGATGCATTGTTTCCACTGAAGCCTTCCATTAGCTACAGGAAGCATGCGTTGTCTGTTGATTGGCAGCGCTAGTCTAACATTATTTAATACATTATGCAGCTAAAGCTCAGGTCAGGAGTGTGCTTTGACTTTCAAACATGACTTTTGTGATCATAAAGAATGCTGTACATGTTCTTGCATTTGCTGACAGCGCTTAATAATAATAAAAAATAATCGTGTAAACATATTCATCCGTCTTATTCTATATCTTGTTCCTCCTTACTTTTTCATCTATCAACCGTGTAAACTTTCCTTCCACCATTTTCTTGTCGTCTGTTTTTCAGGACATCATTCCGTTTGGGAATAACCCGTTGTTCAGGTATGTGTTCGGCTGGATGGTTCCTCCTAAGATCTCTCTGCTGAAGCTCACACAGGGAGAGACCATCCGCAAACTGTACGAGCAGCACCATGTGGTGCAGGACATGCTGGTCCCCATGAAACACATCAAGACCTCCATCCTACGCTTCCACGAGGACATAAACGTGAGACAACCAAACACGCACACAAATGTGTTGACAAATGAACTGATAGCTAATATTCTAAATTGTTGTTATTATTTCAAAACATGCTAAATTTTTAATACGGAATTCTTTATTTATTGAAAAACGCAGGCATCAAAATATATTTGTTTATATGTTCCGGTAATGCTCACCACAGACTTTATTTTTCTCAAAAATCGAAAGCTGTTATTTCTGAAAACACATTAGAAATCCTCACGAGACTCAAAAAGCTAATTCTCTTCCAGACTACAAACTGAACCGCTCTAAATCAGCCAAATCAGAACAATGTCTAACTAAGCCAATACATTTCTGTTTTACATTTTTAATATGTTTTAATATGTCTAAGTGTAATTTATGCAGGATAAATTGAGTTTTCAGCATCATTGCTCAAGTCTACAGTGTCACATAATCACAGAAATCATTCTAATATGCTGATTATCATCCTTACTACTGGTGCTCAGTTATTAATAATGGTTCTTCTTATTATTAATGTTGAAACAGTTTTTGCTGCTTATTTATGTAAAAACGTGTTTTTTTTGGGGGGGGGGGTGAATAGAAAGTTTACAGCATTTATTTGAAATAGAAAGCTTTTGTAACATTATGTGAAACTATAAATCTTAAAGGGATACTCCACCATTTTTTTTTATTATTTTTTGTTATTCCCTTAACTAAGACGAGTTGATGCATACCTCTGTCGCATCAGTGCGTGCACTCAATCGCTCTGCCGTGCGAGATAACTATGGATAACTATGGCACGCGATAACTATATTGTGTGGCGGAATACCACAGCAAGTGCTTGGGAGCACTTCGACTCGGCTCAGTAATATCATCACTCGTGAAAAGTCCTCTCCCCCTCTCACTCTCCGGAGTGATGATATTACTGCGCCGAGTCCATAGATGTGCCGAGTCAAAGTGCTCCCAAGCATTTGCTGTGGTATTCCGTCGTACAATATAGTTATCCACTTTACTCGCTTAGAAAAGCGCAAGGTTTTATTTTGTGTCACCGTCATAGGTCTAGTGGCATATAGTTTAATATGAAAAAGCGGTGGAGTATCCCTTTAAGAATCACCCTTAATCACCAAAAATCCGTATTTAAACTTTTTTTTTTCCTTGAAAAAATTCTTCATGACTTAAAATAGCTTGAATGTAACTATTAAACCTTGCTTCATTTAGCGTATATGGTTCTATGAATATGCAAATTCCCCCTGCCTCCACTCACTCACACCAGCTCAGAGATCCACTCATTAGCCCCTTTCACACAGCGCTTTGATCCCGGGAAATTGCCAGAATGCCTTCTGTGTGAACGCAAACACGACCCGGGATTGATACCGGTATCGATGCCTGGTTGGGGACCTAGTAACATTGCCACAATCTGTCCCGGAATGCACGCTGTGTGAACAAAAGCCAGGACCAATGTCGTAAGGGGTGTGTCACAAGCCCCTTTCACACAGAGATTCCGGAAAATACACGGATAATGTGACCCGGCATTTGTCCTAGGATTGTTTGATTTTGAATCTGTTGCTCTTAGAAGAAAGTTTGTGTTCGTCATCAACAAAGAAAGGACGAACAAATGTTTGCAAACTGGAACTGGAGCTCCTCACTATCCGCGCTGAAGCTGAGATTGTTCACCAGCTTTGTGGAACGGTATGCGCGTGTCCACGTTTTCGACGCGTACGTTACACGTCTCATCCTGATGTCATGTGTCTTTCCGGGATCTTTACGGGTTGTGTGCAACGTACTCACAGATCCCGGCAAATCACTGGCAGTGTGAATGAACCGAAATCAAACAATCCCAGGACAAATGCCGGGTCACATTATCCGTGTATTTTCTGGAATCTCTGTGAACGTTCCCTTAACGTTCCCGAATGGTCCCATGAGGTTATTTTTTTTTTGGGAACCAAACAAGAACGTTATAGGAATGTTCCATGTAGGTTATTTGTAGGTTCCGTTTTTATAACGTAAGGAGAATATTCTGGGAACGTTCCCTTAACTTCAAGGGAAAGTTCTAGCAACGTTCTGGGAACCAAAAACTAACGTTCCCAGAACCTAAATTAGTTTGCTGGGTATAGATGATCACACATTGACATGACTGGTACGTCTTTGGTTCACTGCAGTTTTAAGGAGAAAATAGTAATACTATTTGCATGCAAATTTTGGGATATCACATAAAGAAACTGGATGTAAATGCCAAGATGCGCATAAATTCAAAAATGTGCATAAAAAATGTATCACTTGAGGCGGATTAATTTTTTTGATTGAGTAAGAAAACATAATGCATAATGATGGAAACAGATTTACCAAATAAATTCCTCAATGCTCATCAAAAAGTCATGTGACTTTGCACAATGTGACGGCATAAGTGGACCAACCAGCAGACAGATCTACTGTAGTTACATAGCATCTGAAATGTTGTTTTAGAATAACTTTGACGACAGACTCTGGATGGAAACATAGCTAATGAAATCTGGAGTAATGATTCTGAAAAAATCAGCTTTGATCACAAGAATATATTACATTTTAAAATGTGTTCAAAAATATTTGAAATCGTAATAATATTTCACAGTATCACTGTTTTGATGTATTTTTGATCAAATAAATGCAGCCTTGGTAAGCAGAAGAGACTTCTTTCAAAAACATAACAAGAAAAACTTGACTGATCCCACGTTTTGAATGATAGTTGATATGCAATGTACTACATTTAGTGCATTTTCTCATGGTAATGTGTGTTGTAGGTGTATCCTCTGTGGCTGTGTCCCTTCATGCTGCCCAATCAGCCGGGAATGGTGCATCCTAAAGGAAATGAAGATGAGCTGTATGTTGATATCGGAGCATATGGGGAGCCCCAAGTCAAACATTTTGAAGCCAAATCATCCACGCGCCAGCTGGAGAAGTTTGTTAGAGAGGTTCACGGGTCAGTTATCACTTTTCAACTTTCCATTAGTTGGTAAATTTCAGACTGGCCTAAAGACTGGCCTAAATTTCAATAACCACGTTTTGAAATTCAGTAAAATTGTCTGTGATAAAAGTCTTTAAAACGTTATTGTCACAGGGTATTTTATAACACAACACTTCCATATCTAGATTCCAGATGCTGTATGCTGATGTATACATGGAACGACAGGAATTCTGGGAGATGTTCGATGGAACACTGTATCATAAACTCAGAGAGCAGCTCGACTGTAAAGATGCATTTCCTGAAGTATTTGACAAAATCTGCAAGTCTGCAAGACACTGAATCAGAGCAACCCTGAAAGGTGTGACCAGCAAAACGGCCAAATAAACTGTACAACGCTTTTGCTGAAGAACATGAGCAAATGGGCAGATATACTTAAAGGGCAAATACTCGTATTTCTTGAAGGAACACCAGCTAAGTTTCAAATTCAACCCATTTTTCAACTCTAAAAATTTATTATTTTTTTAAAAAGTTTAACATAATAAGATTCATTTGCTTAACAGATCAGTAGTTTGTCCATTCAAATCTGAATAAATACAAAGTATAAATCAAAACTATTATAAATTATAAATACAAACTATTTTTGAAAACATTGACTCTGTTAAGCATCATATGACAAACATTTATTTTAAGTGCAACTACTGAAGCTATATACAGTAGGCCTAGAATATAAATAATAATAGTAAGTAAATAATAATAATATATATATATATATAGACAAACTCGCAATTGCTACTAGAAAAAATGTCCGAATTGTGAGAGAAAAAAAATCTGCAATAAGATCTTTTTTTATTTCATGGTGGAAATGCGCTTCCATAAAATTACCTATGATTATTAAAACAAATGAATTTTAAGAACAAATTCTTTATTTTCCTACATTGTCAATGTTTCCTACCTCACACTAGATGTCTTAACAATATCTAACATAAGGATTCATTTTTGAAGTGCGTTGAAAGGGATATTTTATAGACTAAAAACATTAAAACACTAATATACTGTACACCTGGCACCGTTTGTGAATGTGTTTAGCATTTGTTTTCGACTCGTAATACCACTTTTTAATATGAAAAATATATTTGTTCTTATTATTGAGTTACTTTTGTCATGACTTATTAGTTATTTTCTGTTACATAGTCTAAAAACATAAACTTTTTTTTCATTTTTTATCTACGTATCATATTTGTGGCCTTCTGAAATTGTTTTTGCCCTTTTATACTGTTCACACAGTATATATTCTGTATTTGGATTTTCAGTGTGCTGAATGATGTTACATACTTGGCAGTCTCAAAATATCCATTAAAATGAATAATTTAAACCATAGACTGTCCTGCTGTTGATATTGAATTCAGCTTTGATCAATATAAATGTTCAGTAGCTAATAATGGAGCTTCTGCAGAGTTTTTTTCTGGTTTTGATGGCAGTGCTTAATGTGTATGGGTTGGGTTGGAGTGGATTTATGGCTGAGGAATATATAAAAACTATCATCCATCTGGTCCAAATGAACATTAGCTGCTCCCAGTCTCTCCCTGTAACATGATGCAGGCACTTTATGATAATACCTTTTTGAGCAGTCACCTCAATATCATATACTAATTAAAAATCTTTGCTTCAAGGGAACATTTTTCTTTTTTGGCAACATTATAATATGCCTCCAAAACTAAACCTTCATACAAATCTTCACTAATATCTATAATCGGTTATTAAAATGCACATGCCTTTTGGAAAACACTGAAGGATACACACTTCTCCTATGTCTCCCTCTACTGACTGAATTATACCTTCAAGTCTTTTCTTTCATGGTCCTGACCGTCCCACATGCCTATTAAACTGCCAGGTGAAATGTTGCCATTAGGGTAAGAGAAACGGTTCAATCACAACATTGACAATCTGTGTATTTTGAGTGCATAAACAGCATTCTGTCCATCCATCCATCCACCCACCCACCAAACAAAAGGCTTTTATTTTATTTTTAATATGGCACAAGCACATAATTTCACAAAATAAGGTTTCTTAAATTTAAAATGTGAGGCAATGGATTCCCATGATTTTTGACCCTTTGGAAATCGTTTTAAGATGTTGAATTGATGCTCAACAAACATTTATTATTATGTCAAACTAAGATAATTTTTTTCTGGATTATTTGACATATCAAAGAATATATATATATATATATATATATTCTTTTCCCCCCTCCCACCTCCACCCCCCTTCTTCAGAGGACAAAAATATACACACATTTTCAAAGTACAGCATTTATTTGAAATATAATTTTTTTGTAACATTTTAAATATTTAATTTAAAGTCAATTTAATGGATCCTTACTCAGTAAAAGTATTAATTTATCTCTCTCTCTTTAAAATATGTAATATCTTTTTAATTTTTTTTTTAGAAATGTTTTAATATTTTTTTCACAAAAAATTTAAGCAGCAAAATGTTTTCAACATTGGTAATAGTAAATGTTTCTTCAGCACCAAATAAAAGAATGATTTCTGAAGGATCAAGTGACAGGAGTAATGATGCTGAAAAATCAGAGGAATAAATTATATTTTCAAATATTTTCAAATAAAACAATTAAAACTGCAATTATATATCACAATATTAGTTTTACTGTATATTTTTGATTAAATAAATGCAGCCTTGGTGAGCGTGTATATGAAGAGTTCAGATGCAAAAGCCTCTAAGTGCCATTTGAAATTCTCTTCTAGAATAATAATTTTTATCAAGCTTGTATATTTAAATTCAGTAATTTCACTTAAATGGCAATTCATAGGTAATCTTCATTGCCATTTAAGTGAAATTACTGAACTTAAATATTAACAAGCTTGATAAAAAATTAACATTATTGAAGAAAATTTCAAATGGCATTTAGAGGCTTTTGCATCTGAACTCTTCATATATATATATATATATATATATATATATATATATATATATATATATATATATATATATTGTGTGTGTGTGTGTGTGTGTGTGTGTGTGTGTGTGTGTGTGTGTGTTTCCACACTTTTGACAGGTAATGCGCTAAGCATATTGGAATTCAGTTATGATATGTACATTGTACCAGTCTGGCCCATGGTTTCTTTTCTATTATACATTGGCCTATATTAACAAATCCACTCACAAATATTCATGAAGTCCCTGGTGTTTCTGTTTTTATTCTCCTTTAGTTGCACTTGGTAAGTGCCCTAACAAAGCAGTGGGACAAACAGTAAAGTAAGCGCCCAAGAGAGTTACCCTACCCTTGGCTCATTCACACCCATTAAATACAGACCAATGACATGTTAAGCACTAATGAATCTACCAGTTTGAACATGCCCTGTGAAGTGAAGTGAAGTGAATGAGGAAGGAGTGAATCTAACTTTTTACAGTCAGAGAGCAGCTATAGCCAATTAAGCTCTTTATCAGTTATCTGGTCCTTTGTTGAGGTGAAAAAGGCCCAACATTCTCAACTGCTGACATATCAAACGTGTTGTCCAAATATTTTTCAAAAATTAATTTATAGGCGTTAATTAGGTGTTAAACGTAGGTGTGTGCTTAACCATTTTTTCAGGACAAATACCCAGAAGTGAGCTAAATATGACTCAACATAATTTATTTTTATTTTTTCTATATATCCCATATAGACAGCAAAATGTGTGTAAAATGTGTAAAAATGCCTTTTCTTTAATCAGGGATTACCGTAATCAAAAAAGCTTCAACATAAAGCACGCCCACCAGTATACAACCACGCCCAACAATAACAAAACCACGCCCAACCGCATACGCAAAACGCATAAACCCCGCCCACTGGTTTGACTGCCACAGAGATAGTAGGGAGGGTAAACTGCCAGGGAAGAAATAGGAAAGAAGAGGTTTTGCTGTCTAGGTTAAGACTGGGACATACAGGGTTAAACTCAACACTGGCAATTATGGGATTACATGAGACTGGATTATGTGATGAATGTGGTGTATCTGAAAATGTTTGTCATGTATTATTTAGTTGTAGTAAATATAATATTTTTCGGGATGTGTTATTCAGTCATTTGAAGAATGGAGAGGAAAGAATGAAGAGTGAGGATATTCTAGGAAAAGGTTTAATGGATAGACAGATATATAGAGCATTATTTACATTCATATATGATTCAGGTTTGGGATATAGAATATAGTAAGTGTGTAATGTTGAACCTGCCATGGGGGACGAGTGTGGACGGAGGAGCTGAACACGCAGCGCCGGATGAAGCCCAATGAAACCTCTATTGCAGGTATGATAATGAATGTTGATGTATTTGAGATGATATAGGTAGACAGTTTTTTTTTTTTTTTTTTTTTTTTTTTTTTTTTTTTTTTTTTTTTGAATCCAGACTCATCACCCAAGGTTAATTTGCCATCTAGCAGCACAGTAGGTGGCGATAATGCTCCTTAGGAGTTAATCGCCATTAAACAGGAAGAAGAAGAAGAAGAAGACTGCCACAGAGAGTTACTACAACTGCAGACCTGTTCCTCCGTCATCGTACATTTATGGTGTTCTACCAACCGGCCAACGACGATTTGTGATCGTCCGGTAAGTAGATTAACATCATGGTGAAAAAGCATGTAGCTGGAATGATATCCAGCCTGTCATAACCGTATAGATATAGCTTTCACATGACGCAACACAAATTACGTGCTTTAATGTCTTAATCGGTGCCAGTTTAAAACATCAATGGTTTTGATCTGTTGGATATAACTTAGTCGCGGTGCTTAAACGGAAGCTTTGGAGATTTTTTGACACCGTGGCTGTGTCTCAACCATAGGTCTCAACAACTACTAGTGAGCCACCTACATAGACCGTACTTTCGGGGCGCGTGCAGACTCGGAACCAATCGACAAAAGCAGTCTAGGTAGGCAGTTCAGTAGCTTTTGAGACACACAGACTAAATTCTGGACATGGCGTTTGTGAATCGGCCTTTGCACAATAAAAGAGCACAAGTTGTGCAGTGCAGTCACGCATACGAATCTTAAAGGGACAGTTCACCCAAAAAATAAACATTTGTCAATTGTTATTAACCCTCGTGTCCTTTGTATGACTGCTGTGGAACACAAAACATGTTAGGCAGATTCAGTCACCCTTCTCTTTCTTGGAATATTTTTGGTTTCTGGGGTTGTCATTCCGGGTTAGGAGGAACAACATGGTGAGGGCGACAAAGTTTTCATTTTAAGGGTGAACGATCCCTTTAATTTGTTTGTCAGTACCTGGTATGATTCACATTAGATAGCAGATCTTATTTTAAGAAACTTTGTTCTATTATGTTATGCCACTAGCTGTTACTTATATGGGTGAAAGGTGAGTGCCTCCACCTCTTTTGTTTATAAGTTGTTTTGTAGTGTGCATCACATTAAGTACATGCCTTCAGACTTGTACAAGACATTAACTCTTACATTACATAAGCCTGATGTATGAATGATTTTTTTCCATCACAGTGAGTGAGTGAGCGAGGGAGGTGAAAGACGAGAGTGTGCCTGTGACAATGACTACCGACAGAGAGCCTCCTGTCACTGCTAAACTCCTTCACCTCGTGTTTCTCTCCACCTTCTGGGGAATGCAGATATGGGTCACCTTCATATCGGGTAGGTGTGGTCACTGTTTCACCCCCATTTATTAATGAAATAAAAGGCCACTTAGGTGTACGTGCAGAGAGCACCCATCATTTACTCACCCTCAAGTTGTATGAGTTTCTTTCTTCTGCTGAACACAAAGGAAGATATTTTGAGGAATGGTTATGCTAAATGTTTTCACAAGGGTAGATTTATACAAATATAAACAAGGTTTATATAAACATCCACAGTCCTTAAGGTTGTCTTTTGTACTTTTGTTTTGCTCAGGCTTTGTTATGGACAACCATCTAAACCGACACACGTTTGGCTTCATCCAGAGCCGGCTCTTCCCGTTTTACCTGCATATCGGCTCAGCCTGCGCTTTCTTCAACCTCACCATCTTCGCCATGTACCATCCCAGCAACATGCTGGATGACAAAGAGGCCTTCCAGGTATTCAGAACAAAATCTTCACAGATATGTGAAAAGATATTCCTGAAATAGTTAATTTAAAAATGACTAATGGCCCTCATGTCGTTACAAATCTGTACGACTTCCTCTTCGGAACATAAAAAGAAGATATTTTGAAAAATGTGCATGTCACTTTCAAGGTTGGCAGGTCTGCACTTTTATTCATTAAATGACAATAAATGGCAACTGCAAGCTTCAAAAAGGTCACAAGATCACCATAAAAGTGATAAATGATATTTACTTATTTCTTCTGAAGTCATGTGAAAATTCCGAGTTAGAGACACGTCACGTTATTCATTGATAATCTTTATGAGCTGAGAACCGCTGTGATTGAATCCTTGAGTCAGTGAATTGAACTTTAACTGAATCAGTCAGATACATTAACAAAAGTCCCTGTAAAGGCAATTCTACAAAAAAGTTCTAAACGCATTATAAATGTTACATATGTATTGCTAAAACATATTACAAAGACTGTGAACTGTGAAGTACTGAAATGTGGAGTTAGACCGTTAAACGGTTTTTCACCATTGCAATTTTACGGATTTTTTTGGGCGGGTCTAAAACAGGGCTCGATGACGCACTGGAGCCCATGAGCTCCTGGACAAGCCCCTATTTGATGACGCATTTTGCTGATCTCATCTCTCCCCTAACAATAGAGCACATTCGCATTCGCCGCTCAATCGCGAGTGACTGTTAGAGACATCCGCCTCTGTAGTGATCGTTTTACACTGGATCGTTTTATAAACTTTCCTCAGAGACAACTGGGATTCACTGATAATCCGCTGTTACTGGTGAACGGGGCCGAAAACGGCTATCTCCCGCCTCAGCGTTCATCCTCCCGTCTCCAAAAGCTAATCAGCTAATATCACCGTCTACAGCTTTCCCGTGAGTGGGCGTGGTTTCCACGCAGCCAGCGGACACACCCCCAGCGTTTGAGAGCAAAGATAACTGCTCATTTTTTCATGATTTTGATTGCTTATTTTATGTACTTGACGGCTTTTTTTATCATTCAAATTTGGCTGGATGGCTAATAACACATTTTTCTGTGGTGTGACAAACTCAGAACACATACTTAATTTTGACTTTACAGGGACTTTTATGAACTGACTGCTGATTTATTGACTAAAACCAGAGTCAAAAAAATTCATTGAATCTGTCAACTCTACTTCTCTCATGAATTTGTGAATGTTAAAGGAGTTTTTTATGTTTTCTGGGTTGCCCTTATATGCTAGTATGTTTTTTGATCAAATATAGTCATAATTTAGAAATAAAAGGCATTTTTCCTAGCCTGATTTTAGCCTCTGATTTGAAAACTCTGTTTGAAGGGGCGTGTCTGTTGTGGGATTCAGTGTAACCGGCCACTGCTGTGATTGGCTGACATGCTTACATATGAAATCCGTTCGTACTTCCTAGCTCATTTTCTCATGGGTGAGCCAAATTCTCTGGGCGGGCAAATCAGAGAAAAACAGCCCATTCTCACTCCCAAGCATTTGGACATGCTTCAATATCTGACGCTTCTATGATGCTTTTGCTTCCTTTTTGAATCTCCGGTTGCATGAAAAAGAGCATCCAGCACATTCTTCAAAATGTGTTTTTTGTCAAATGAAAAATAGGAAATCCTACATGTTTGGAATGACACGAGGATGAATAAACAATGATTTTTAGGTGAACTAACCTTTATGTAGGATGACCGACTCTCTCTTGATTCTACTAGCTTTCTGGTTTCTCCCCAGATCTTAATTTATTTTGTGTGTGTGACTGTGGCGGCAGTGAACGCCCAGTGGTTTGGTCAGATGACCTCGGAAATCATGGCGGACATGCACCTGATTGAGCAGGCCTGTGGATTGGGTCAGGACATCGGACTCTCGTCCAATCGGGAAGCCTACGCCAAGCTGTGCGAGACGGACCCCAAGTATAAAAAGCTGAGCGGTCGGCTGTGGCTGTACCACCTGCTGTCCTCTCTTTGTAACCTCTGCTGTATAGTGTGTAACGGATACAGCCTATATTACCTGGCAGAAAACCTTACCACCCTCTGATGAGCTTTCCTGCCTTATAGTGGAGTTCTACTCCCACAGTGCAATGCAAAACCTTCGGTTAGAGTCTGTGTGACTCCGGCAGCGACAGCCTGCTCTCAGGTACTGGATGACTTCCTGACAAATCTGCTCATTCTCGTTATGGATTGTCTTTTTTTAATCTTTGTTGTGCTAGTTTTAGCATAGAATATGTATAGAGAATATATTTTGTAAATGTTATAGATGGCTGTGGATATTTAAATTAAAAAGATGACACTGCACGCTTGGGGAATGAGAAAACAAAAAAACAAAAACGACACGCTTTATATGAACAAAAATGGGAAGTGGAAATATATTTTCTTTTTTTTATTCTAGAAGTTATGGTTTGCCTAGGCAAACTCACTCTATCACAAAAAAATATAATTATTTGATCGAATTATTTGGTGTGAATGTATCAATATGTCCGCACACACAATCTTATAGTGCACTTCTACATTTTAACAGGGATGAATATGCTAATTATGCTCTCACCTTAATGTTGAATTAGATCTTAAATAAAATGCACCCAGCCCAAGTTGTACCACAGTATACATACATATATATATTTAAAATATGCACTACTTGTTAAAAGTTTGGGGTCAAATAAATGAATACTTTAATTCCGCAAGGACACACTTGATCAAAAGTTACAGCAAAGACATAAAAATGCTACAAAAACGATTTCTATTTAAGAAAAAAATGCTGTTCCTTTGAACTTTTCACTCATTAAAGAATTCTGAAAAAATGTATCACAGTTTCCACAAAAATATTAAGCAACACAACTGTTTTCAACATCATTAAAATAATAAATGTTTCTTGAGTAGCAAATTAGAATGAATTTTGAAGTAATGATGCTGAAAGTTCAGTTATGTCATCACAGGAATAAATTACATTTTAATACATATTAAAATAAACCACTATTTTAATACTATTTCGCAATATTAATGTTTTTCGGTATGTTTGATCAAAGGAATGCAGTCTTGGTGAGCATAAGAGACTTCATTTATATGCATTCAAAAATATTACTGACCCCAAACTTTTCCTATGTCAGCTTGGTTCATAAAGTATGTTCAACGTTTAAGCATTGTTTAATTTATATTTGCTGTTAAGAGACATTTACAGATGTAGATGCTCTCTATTTGAAATCATCAAATTTTTCTTTGACGGCATGGCAAGTTCAACAGGAACCAGTTTATCTCCTGTTTGGCTGCTTTTGTGCTGTGCCTTTGCCTTTTTCAGGCGTTAAGCAACAGCAAACCGAACTACCTGGGTGTATATGGAGTATGGACAGTGTTCTTTAGAGGCATTTTTTTTTTTTTTTTTTGTGAAACAAATGTCATGTGACTCACTAATGTGTTAGTCATATAAAATTGTGTGTATTCAGATAATAGCACCATTATTATGATGGCTACACCTTGCTATGGAATGTAGATTCTACTTCAGTTGCTTTACACTTGTGTTGTCTGTCCACCTTATTCGTATCAGTTACTGTACAGTGCCTTGCATAGCGATATCTTCCATTTTTCAGTACTGTATGGCAGTTCCCAGTAAGATGCTGGTGAGGCTTTGAGTTTGTCCCTGTAATTGGGGATTGATTATTTTATCAATGCAAATGAACCGGCAGCTATAACGGTGAACCTGTAAATGATTATATTTAGTGTGTTTAAATTAAGAAGGGTTTAAATATCATCTAGTGTAACATGGTCAATGGAATCAAATACAGAACAACTTTGTGCTTAGAATGTGTCATTAAAATTCCATAGATTTTTAGCCGAAGTTTCGTTATTGTCTTTCTATGAAGATGAAATGGTAGATTAGGAACGTTTTTGCATACCAGCTCGCCAACTAACATGTAACATTCTCAGAATTTTAAGGTTCTCTCAAAGTTAGGAACAAACTTTCTTATAAGAGCTCCTTCACACAGAACACATTTTTAGCTTTGGAAAAGTAGGTCAAAACTATGGAAGCTTGTTTCCGCCACTAAATAAAAAAAAAAGAAAAAAATAATTGCGACTTTTTATCTCAATTGCAAGATACGAAGTCAGAATTGTGAGAATTAAAGTCGCAATTGCGTGTTATAAAATCAGAATTGCTTGTTATAAAGTCAGAAGAAAAAATTACAGAAGTGCGACTTTTTACCTCACAATTCTGACTTTTTTTCTCACAATTGCAAGTTTACATCTCACAATTCTGACTTTATAACATAATTGCGAGTTTATATGTTGAAATTTTGACATCTTTTCTCAGAATTGTGAGATACAAACTCACAATTGTGAGTTATCAGGCCAATTCTAAGGGGAAAAAAGACTTTCCCCCCCTCAGAATAGTTTATAACTCACAATTCTGACTTTATAACACGCAATTGCGACTTTATAGGCTATCACGCAATTCTGACTTTATATCTCTCAATTGCGACTTTATATCACACAATTATGACTTTACATCTCGCAATTCTGACTTTATATCTCGCATTTCTGACTATCTCACAATTGCGACTTTATATCACGCAATTCTGATTTTATCTCACAATTCTGACTTTACACCTCGCAATTCTGACTTTATATCTCACAATTCTGACTTTACATCTCGCAATTCTGACTTTATATCTCGCAATTCTGACTTTACATCTCGCAATTCTGACTTTATATCTCGCAATTGCGAATTTTATATCACGCAATTCTGATTTTATATCTCACAATTCTGACTTTATATCATGCAATTCTGACTTTATATTGCAATTCTGAGAAATAAAGTCGGAATTGCGAGATGTAAACTTGCAATTGTGAGAAAAAAAGTCAGAATTGTGAGATAAAAAGTCGCAATTAACTTTTTTACTTTTCATTCTGCGGTGAAACTTCCATAGAAAACCCTATTTAAAAGTTCAATTTATTTTAACTTGTGGGCCGCGTTTTTGGAGCGGCGTGTCATGCACGAGATGCTGCTCGGTTATACACGTCAGTCTAGAGCGCGCGTTTGCATTTGAATGGAAAAATGCGTTCTGTGTGAACGGCCCCTTACACTGACATTAATAACATTCTTTCAAAGTGTCTTGACTTTAATAATGTTCTCAAAACGTTAGAACAAAAACCTTATTTATAGAACATTGTTATCTGTTTAGTTGGACTTTGGAATGTTCCCTTAATTTTCTCGTAACCGTGAAAAAACTTTTTACAAAACTGGACACTTTGAACGTTCTGATTTGAACGTTCTTTAAAGTTTTTTTTTTTTTATAGCTTAACTGAAAGTTTAGCAAGTTAGCAAACATATTTTGTGTCTGTCTGCATAAAAGGAAATTTCACTTAAATGGCATCCCTTTATGTAAATCTGAAGTGTCTTTTTGGCATCAAACTGCAAAGTTAAAATGTCAAAACATTGTTCCATTTTGTTATATGTGCTGAAATCACACGTCACCTTCTTGAATGAAGATTAATGTCTGAATATGTGATGAATGTAAAGCTGTTGTTGTTGAAATGGGGTATGTTTTTTGTTTTGTTTTTTCAAATAAATTAATACAATTGTGTTTATAGTCTTATGCTTTTTGTTTTCAATCTCAAAAGGCCAAACCTGTAGTCGAAATGTGAAATGTAAAGTAGAGCTTGTACTTGGAGTTAAATATTTTACTGGTATAAAAACAAATGTATTTTACAAACCACTACAAAAGATCTAAAATAAGAACATGTTGAACGTTGTAAATATAGCTTCAGATGCTGATTGGTTTCATGTGACTGAAATATTTTATGACCATAAGCATAGTAGTAATGCAGGTAAATACAAAAACACATTAAAAGATTAATAAAAAAAAATGATGTTGGATTTGATATACAACAGGTCCCAGAATTTATTTATTTATTTTTTTTTTAAACAGATTTCAAGATAGCACACCCAACCAAGTCTAACTTTCGTTAACATTTACAAGCTTATCTCATGAGAAAATTGAACAATTTTACGAGGTGGCGACTTTGTATGAATTTGTATGATGTGATTAATTCAAAGTCGGCATGAAACAGAAGGTACGATAATCTTTTGTTCCCTATTGTGATGTACATTTCAAACAAGAAATATAAATGTAGGGTGGGACTCAATTTTGTCCATGGGGAATTGATTGGATGATTGTGGTTTGCTATTGGTCAATTTCATGTGAGTGAATTATTTTAATTAAGGATTATGAGAACAAATTAAAAAATTATGATGTGCACGGATACATTATTTATAATACATTTGCAACATTCAAAAATTAAAAATGGCTAACTTTGATTTCATGGTGACTTAACAAAAATAAAAACTTAACGAAGGTCCAACCCTAACTGTGTAGTGTACAAAACTGTACGAATTAGCCACTAATTCGCTAAAATGTAAAATAGTTATGAAATGCCATGGGAGTGTTATATATATATATATATATATATATATATATATATATATATATATATATATATATATATGCCACTATAGTGGATAGCAAAGTCTCACACTGGATCCAGTGTTAATCCTGAAGCCAGGATAGAGCGGTTGAGCAAATGCAGTCTGAATTTTGTGGATAAGATTCATCGAGTCTGTGATGCTGTAAAATTCCAAAATCCCTGCCGAGAAATCGACATAAACGCCAACCCTGTGAGCCCACTGCATTTTGGGAATCTTAGTTTCCTTTCCACAGTGCCAGAATGTGTAGGTATCCTCAGAGCACACCAGACTCCACGACTGGGTGTTGTGTCCAAATGCACACTGGGTATTCTTTCCTTTCCTGCTGATGTCCTCATAGGACACTGCGATGTGCACAGGACCCTTACCGCTCCACTCGGCCTCGAAGTAACAACGGCCGGTCACGCTCTCTCTGCACAGAACCTGGCTATAGTTATCAAACCTCTCTGGGTGGTCAGGAACGGACAGAGATGTTTTGATGAACGTCACCTCTCCACTCTCTGAGCAAACGCTGAGGTTTCTGTGGGCGGTGTTCACGTCTAGAGTCAGGGAACCCGAATCTGAAATCCAGAGACGCAAGATTTGAATTAACTTGTCAGTTTCTCTGTTGACAATTGTACTGATGTGTGTGTGACTGTGTTACTCACATTCCAAGAACTCCTCCCTGACTTTGGGTTCAGGGGTAGGAATAAATTTGAGGTTTGACACTAAGACGACAAAATATAATCAGTGCAAGAATCTTGACCCTTTTTTATGTAAAATTCTCTTTATAAATTTAAAATACCGACATTTCCAAATGGATAATTTTACATGGTTTAGTGTAAAATGTCTGCCCTTAAAATGTAGTTTTAAAAGTAAAAAATTATCATTTTAACCACTAGATGGTTATAGAGTTCCATTATATGCTATTTGCTATTTGACTAACTGAAAGATATCTTTTCACAAGTTTTTCCAGTTGGATTCATATTTCAATAATTGAAATCACAATTATAACAAAAAAAATTACTTTTTTTTTTTTTGTACTGAATTTTGTTTTTCAATAACGTTACATCATGATTAGAATCAAACCTGAAAAAGATAAAAGTTGAGATTTTTCTTCTAATTGTAAATTGATAAATGTCTTTTTTTTCTTATTTTATTAAAAGGTAATCTACACTTCAGTTACAAACTGTAACAGAACAGATATGAACAATTATACTATATATTGAGTACAAATACATGACATGAACATCAAATGCAATGAACTGAACAGCATAACAAATGAGCAAATAAAGCAGTAACTTTTCTCTCTCTCTCTCTCTCTCTCTCTCTCTCTCTCTCTGTGTGTGTGTATGTGTGAGCGTTCACATTGTCGATGTGTTTTTTGTGGTGGTTCTGTATTTTGGACTATTTTATGTGACAAATTATAAGAGAGAAGTTTTTATAGTGGCACAAATGTATTCCTGTGTGTGTGCGTGCAAGATAATTTTGCATTGTGAATGTTTTTAGCATTGTTGTTGGGTTGTGCCACTTCATTTCTGTCTATTTGTGTTCCGCGTTGTTTCTGATTTTGATGATGGATTTTGGTTTGCAGGGGTCTCCGAAGACTATATAAAAACAGATATCATTACAATTAAACGTTTTTTTTTTTACATATAGAAAGGGTTGAGAGCCGTTTCATGCCATTTAGACAAAGATCATTTATTTTTAATAAGTAATTTGCTGGTTAAAAAGACCCCGAAGACCATCAGAGGGTTTTAACATTCATACTTATTGAACTATTTTCAGCTTTTATTATTTATAGTGTTTGGAATACTTGCATGTGTTTACTGAATCCAGTGTGAACTAGATACTGACAATGAATAGTAAGAGAAGCACACTTTATAAACATTTCGAGGTAATACTTTAGAATACGGTTCCTGCGTTAATGAATAACTACACAAAAACCAATGAGTAACAAAGTAACAATCTAGTAACTATTATTAACTAACAAGAAACTCAGATTAATAAACTAGTAAGTAACAGCACACGGATGAAAATGGTACTTCACTATTACCTAATCAATAACTACTATTTTTTTAATGCTTCCCAGAGAACTACTGAAAAATTTTATTAATAATCTAGTAACTACTATTATGTAACAAGAAACTGATTAATGAACTAGTAAGTAATAGTACACAGATGAAAGTGGTACTTCACTACTAATTATTACACAATAACTATTTTTTTTCTTCCCAGAGAACTACTGAAAATTTTCATAATTCATGCAAAGCTAATCAATATCCAATGCAGGACAAATGACTAGCACTACATTAACATTTTAACTGCGACTGCTGTTAATAATTTGCCTATGCTGTGTATTTATCAACTGAATAATTTTAAAGAAATGGATTTTTAAATGAAGTTGTTGTTGGGACCTTACTTGTCCTGTGGCCAATTTTCTGGCATTTCTCTGGACTGGCATTGAACATATTGAGTCTTCAGCCACCCAAATACCATATACACTATAGGTGTTAAATAATAAAATAACTGCATATGGAGAACACTCCCCAAAAAGCAGCTCTCCTTATATATATATATATATATATATATATATATATATATATATATATATATATAAGTTTGTATAATAAAGTTTATTAACAATCTAGTATCAATCTGGATGTGTTTTTCCAGAACATCAACAGTTGTGCAAGTGTTCTTGTTTGTTCCATGTATTCGATGATGATTTTTTTTTATTAACAAGGCCCAGTTCGAAGCCGGATTTGCTAATCGTTTAGTTCTCAAGGATGGAGCAGTCCCAACACTAAAGGTTAACGGTCTTGCGTTGAAACAGTGAGTAGAACTGCTTCAAATGTATGTGTGTCTACGGCGTGTAACTTAAGCACAGCAAGCAGGCTAAACAACATTTTCACGTGTAGTTAATGTATCTATGGAGCATGTGATATATGGTGTGTGTTTGTTTAAATCCATAGGTGGCTACTGTAGGTGTCTGTTTGTTTATTGTAAAACACCAAATCATGTCTTCATAAACCACGAGTACACACACAAATGTTCTAAAACTGGCGCATGACATGGTGTTCTAAAAACACCGCCCACACGGCACGCCTCCACCCGCTCGGCTTTTTCTGGAAAGACTCGGTACAGCCTATCCTTTCTTTCATAAATATAATAAAACCAAAGACATTTTGGAGATATGATGGATGCAATATTACAATAGGTACTCAAGATTAACATGAGACTGACTTGACTTGACATGAAGTGTTTCACCCCCCCCTTTTGGTTTTTGATGAAAACATGGACTTCATTGGGTACCAAACGGTTCAAGGTCCAAATGAAAGTTTTAGTGCAGCTTCAAAGGGCTTTACACGACACCAGACGATGAATAAGGGTCTTATCTAGCGAAATGATAAAAAAAAATATCCATATCTAAAATGTTATCAACTAAAATAACTAGCTTCCGGCAGACGGCCATACGCATTGTTTCACAACAAAATACTAACCCTTCGTCTTGACGCACAATGTAATGACGAACGTGGCTGCCTAGCCCTGTTTGTTTGAACCGCGAGAGGCATCAAAGCTTCGACATGGGCAAGCCGTCTGCCGGAAGCTAGTTATTTTCATATATTGCTATTCGTAGTGATATTCCTCTGATATTTTCTCTTTTGTAATGTCTCTCGGTCATCACTTTTTCTACAGTCTTTCTTCAAATCTCCCTCTTTCTCTCTCTCTCCACCTCTGTTATGAGTGGACACGCCCCCTACTGCTGATTGGCTATTGTGTTGTGCTGCTCAGTTCAATCCACTTTTAACAGTTTCCCAGAAATCGCTTACTGCACCATCCACGTATTCTATATACTATATATTATAGTTCGCATGCTATTCCAAACATAATCATTTGACGACTCACCTTTTTTCGATAATTTCTCAATTTTTTTTAGGCATAGATCTTTAATGTCCTCACTCAGAACTGTGAGTTTTCTTGACACCATATTGAAACAGAAGTCTGGATTGGCTAGAACTGCAGGAGAGGTCACCAACTCTGGCAGACTACACAGTGTTTCATAACTCTGAGGAATAGAATTAAATACACTCTTAGATCGAAATTACAGATGATAAGTACCCAAGTGGTATCCAAAAGCACTGACGTTACCTTGAGGAACTGAGTTTTATCATCAAGGCGTGCAATAGTGTCGTATTCAGCATCTCTCCTCTTGAACTCTGAGATTTCCTGCTCCAGTTTCTCCATAAATCCATGGGCCTCGTCTAATTCCTTCTGCTCCTTTGCTTTGATCATCTCCGTCGCCTCAAAACAAAGAGCTTCAATGGACTGAATCAGCTCAGTGAAGATCTTCTCCGTATCCTCCACCGCTGCCTGGGCAGAGCTCTTTTTGACAACATACAGGACCAGAGAAGTGATGAGTCCAAGAGTGCAAAACCTTCCTGCCCATAATGGGTCTCTTACTTTTAAGTTGATAACCCACACCATCCCGCTTCTCCATCAGGACTTTCCACGTCCCCCTGGCAGTAATGAACTCACCCTGAGGGACACTACGGCTTGACTCAGATCCTGTAGCTCCGTCTCGCGCTCCTTTATGACCTGCTGGTATCTCCTCTGTGACCGCTTAAGCTCTTGCTGCAGACCAGAGGTGATGCACATTACACACATAAAGAAACATTCATACACTCTTAGAAAAAAAGAAAGAAAAAAATATCAGTGGGGTCTATTTTAAATTTTAAAATGGTTTACGCAAAAACAGTTTATTAAGAGGTTATTTCAATAGTGATAAAGTATGTTTTAAATAAATAATACATTTAAATAAAATTATTAAATTAAATATAATAAATCCATAAAATGATCTCATGATGGGATCCCCTAAAAGGGTATATATACAAAGCAACTGACAGAACCATCTAGGGTTCTATGTGTGTGTGTGTGTATATATATATATATATATATATATATATATATAACCTTTTCATAAGAGTCTACAGTAACTTAATTTTGGAACACACCTCTTCTGTGATGAACATGTTTTTAAATTCTGATTAAAATTAATTTTGATATATATTGAGGTATAATATCAAAAATCAAAAGTGTCAAAAATGTCCTTTTATCATAATGAAAGAAAAAGCCTAAATAAAAGGATGGAACTCTTGATTTTTTATTATTATTATTTATTAGGGTGGAAAAAGCAGTGAAGCGGTTTTGTTAAAATAATATAAATATTTGAGAAACATTCAAAGTATGACCAACATCCAGAAAAGAATATGAAATATGGAATGATGTCATATGGAGGATCCCTGCAGATTCCCATGACTGTTTAGACCCAAAAAATAAAAATATTTATAAATGAATAATTAATCAATATTTTAAAAAATAACTATATATATATACACACACACACACACACACACATATACTGACTTATTCACGAAAGTAAATATAAAAGTTGACCCTCTTACTTGTTGACCCTTTTATTTTTAAAAGTTGACTCTTTTAAAAGTTATTACAAAGTTTCAGCATCAAATTTAAAGACAGATGAGAAGTCAGACACACCTCACAGAAGATGACGAGATCATGCTTTTCTTTTGCAATGTCTTCATCATTCTTAACTCCAGGTAGGGTGTGGGAACGAATTCCAGTATGTCTCAGTCTCTCAACAACTTCAGCAAACAGAGTGTTTTTGTTGAGTGCAGGTCTCGGGGAGAAAGTTTGCCTGCACTGTGGACAGCTGCACAACTTCCTCTGGTTCTTCTGCTCCCAGAAGGTCTTAATGCACTCCATGCAGTAGTTGTGTCCACAAGGAATGGTTACGGGGTCTCGCAGGAGTTCCATACAGATGGGACAGCTGAACTGCTCCTGGTTGACAAAAATACCAGCCTCTTCTTCTGCCATAGTTAAAGTAAAAGAAACAGACTGGCCACAGCAGCTTTGTGTGTGGAGAGAGTATGGCGTTTGCTTCAAGTGCCTCCCACTAGTAGGCTAGTGCCTGTATGGGTTTGTAATGGGAGGAGTTCATTGTAATGTGTCACTGTGTGGCCATGTTTCAGAAGTCACAAGCTTATTAAGTCACTATTACATCATTGTTGTTGTTTTGAAAATAACATTTTCATCTTTACTTGAAGAACACTGATTCACAGCTTTAAATGGGCTACACAAGCAAAACTTCTGGAAAGATTATCCTCATGGTGGTTCCAATGCATGTCTGTTCATGTCCACTGATGAATGAGTGCACAATGACAATGTCTCACAAGATGTTTTCTGGTTTATGTTTGCACTATTTATAGGACAAAATAAGGGTGTGTGGATACTTGATATCTATCTATCTATCTATCTATCGATCGATCGGCATTCCTTTTTTAATTAGTAATGGAAAAAAATCAAACCATTTTGAATGCCGAAAAAAATAGCAATTCATGAATTATAAGGTATAAAGTTACATAATAGAAATGGACAACATATGTTAAGCACTGTGGGGATATATATATTTTGTATAACCATTAACCAACATTTAAATATTAAATTCACTTTAACATACCGAGCTATCGATGAAATCACAGTTATATTTCGAGCTTTTTTTTATTTGTGACTGACAGTAATCATAGGACGGTAATATATATATATATATATATATATATATATATATATATATATATATATATATATATATATATATATATTTTTTTATAGGACGGTAATATTATTCCACACTAGAGGCCACTCTCGTCGTCACAACCTGGTCACAATCCATCGTCGTCGTCACTACCGGTGAGTTTTGACAGAGGCCGCGTCCAAGCCGCACCGTGAATACAAAATAAAAGTAAAAAAAACCCTGTCATTTTCAAAATAAACACCATGTGATTGTGCAGACCATAGACTGTGATTTGTTGTCGCGTGGTTCGTGTTGTGCGTACAGTTCTACAAAGCCGATGGGAGCGCACCCGTCTTCCTTTGGCTCATAACAGGAACTAAATGTAACAAGTACAGATTTCATATTCTGCTCCTTTTCTAGTTCTACACAATCTGTGTGACAGAAGGCAGCGCAACATACGCAGGTAACTATAAGCATTTCCCTTCACTCTGTTAGACGAGAGCTGTGTGTTTATGTGGCAAAGTATCAGCAGTTACTGCTGCTTTGTTGACCCATCAAATGTTTGTCAAGCTACGAATGAGTTAAACCGTCTTATACTTGAACTATTTTGCACTTAAACTTGTAACAGCTCCTCTGCAGAGCTGTGGTCACTTTTAAAAGGTCCTTCAAGGTCCAGATATGTTTATTTAAAGTTTGGCCTATTGCACCACCAGAGTTCATAATTGTTTGATCCTGCAATTAGTGCCGTTTATGGATGCCCATTTAATAAAAATTTTAATTGACACAAAAAGTGAAAATGTTGCCAATTTTTGTAGTTTATAAGATACATGGAAATTATGGCATAGTCATAATTATGACTTAATAATATTAAGTCATAATTATGAGATTGCTAAGTCATTTATGAGATTAAAAGTCATAATTATGACTGTCACAATTATGACTTTCTGCCACAATTATGACTTATCATGTCACCATTTAGACATTTTTTTTTCTTCTCAGAATGGAGATGAGTGACAGCACCCTGTTAAAGCACAACTGAGCAGGAAAAAGCCCAGGCATATTGAGATGCCGACTTATTTATAGTCATGTGTCATCATTTTTAATTAGTATGTCAATTTCGACTTAGTGCTGTCAAATCGATTAATCGTGATTAATAATCACACCTTATATAAAAGTGTGTGTGTGTGTGTGTGTGTGTATATATATATATATATATATATATATATATATAGTAAATAATTGAATTAAAAAAAAAACTTTAACTTTTTAATCAAAATGTAATCAAATTAAAATTTAACAAGAGGAAATTGCATATTCTGCACGGAGGGTTTTTAATATAGTACATGCATACATGCACACAAATTGAGTTACCCCTCCAACTTCTAGTTTTATTGATAACCTATATCTTATCACATGCCATTTGGCTATTGATGCTACAGAAGTCCTGTGGTAAAATTACATTAACTTACTCCATCTACCCTTGTAAAGTTGATCCGAATAGGGCTTTAGTCTCGACATTTTCCCCTCCCACATCCACATACAATAAAAATGTGTAGGCTTAATGTTGTCCGAATTTAATTTAAAGAAATTACTGATGCAAACACGTTCTGTGTGTGTGTGTGTGGGTGTGTGTGTGTGTGTGTGTGTGTGTGTGTGTGAGAGAGAGAGAGAGTCTGTTCTTGTGTCTGACCGGTCTCTCTGAGCGGATGACCGGTTTAAGATGGCGGCTCCAATTCTCGTCCATGATTGCGATTTTGAGTAATGAAACAAGCTGGGAGTTTTTAAAAGCCTCAGGAATCTTTTGAGGTGTTTAGACTTAATTAGTTAATTCAGATGATTAGGTTAATAGCTCGTTTAGAGAACCTTATCATGATATGCTAATTTTTTGAGACAGGAATTTGGGGTTTTCATGTATGCCAATCATCAGTATTAAAACAATAAAACAAATAATATTTCAACTGAAATATTTCAGTTGGTGTGCAATGAATCTAAAATACATGAAAGTTTAAATTTATCATTACATTATTAAAAATAATGAACTTTATCAAAATATGCAAATTTTTTTAGAAGGACCTGTATGTTATACTGTGTATAATTATTTTGTATACACACTTGTGTATATATTTAAGAAAAAATTGTTATTTATATATACAATGTTAATATTTATATATAATATAAATTCTGTATAAATATACATACAACATATACATGCACATATTTCTTAAATGTATACAAGCATGTATGTGTATTTATATATACAAAATAATTATACGCAGTACACACACATATATTATGAAAATACAAACTTTTATTTTGGATGCGATTAAACGCGATTAATCGTTTCCCAGCACTAATATATAGTTATATATTTTGGTCATAATATGAATATGAATGGAAGAAGGATATCATTCCAGAATTTCCCAACATGTAAAACTAGTTTTAGGACACGCCTCCTTTTTAAGTAAGCGAACAGCTTCTTACAGAAAGAGGAAGTGCTGCACTTATTCTGTGTATCATGTCTACTTGTGAGTACATTGCATTTTGGGTTATTTTATAGGTATGCTTTTTGATTTTCTTGCTGTGCAGCGTGACATTTAACCCTCAATGATTGTGCGGCAGTTGGTGTGTAGGGGTTTGACCTCTCACCTGTGTGCGGCAGTCAGACTGAACTTGAGATCTCCAAAGATGGCCAGACCAAGCTCAGGTAGGACACTAGCACTTTGAGGAGAATGCTGAAAAGATCTTTGGGGATGTTGTGTTAATGCCTGTGAACTAAATGATTTGATACTAAATATATTTGTATTTATTTGTAGATTTAACACAATTTCGTAAGGAGTTTGATAAAGCAAAGCACATTGCTATCATAACGGGGGCTGGAGTGAGTGCAGAGAGTGGCGTACCAACCTTTAGAGGACAGGGGGGGTACTGGAGGAAATGGCAGGCACAGGTAACACACACACACACACACACAAGTTGGGTTCCTGTTTGTTGGGGACTCCATAGACATAATGATTTTTTATTGTACAAACTGTATATTATATCCCCTTACACTAACCCTACCCATCACTGAAAACTTTCTGCATGTTTACATTTTTCAAAGAAAATCCCTTAGTATGATTTATAAGCTGTTTTCCTCATGGGGATCCATGAGGATTTTGGATATTTGCATCTTTGTGGGGATCATTTTGTCCGTATATCCATACACGCACAATGTTTGCAATGTGTATCTGTAGACAATATAAAAAAAAAGAAGATTAAAATCATTCCAGTAGTAGCAAGATGTTTTAGCATAAATTAACAAAATATGACTTATACCAAGTTTTTTTTTTTTTTTTTTTTTACTGAGGGACACCATTGATATTATAAAGGCAGCTGTATATTTTTACGTAAAAAAAATCAATTTATGCTGTGAGAGTGATATATTAAATCTAATAATATTTAGATAACTAAATCAAAACAATTATTTTAAAAATTATTTCAAAACAATTATTTAAATTATTAAAAATGATTAAATAAAATAAAATGTTAAAATATCAACTGAAACATTAATTTAAAATATTTTAGAAAAAAAACCAAATGATCAGAAAGCAGAAAGAAAAATGATTACATTTAATGAATGTAAAAAAAAATAATAATTCTGGGTATAATTATATACATATTTCAGAAATATAAGTGCACACTAACTTTGATGGCCCTAAAAAGACATTTTCCAATACATAGTATTATTATTAATAATAATCTGTATATGTGCCTGAGGTTTGAGTAACAGCCTAACAGTAACAGTACAAGGAGTAGCCAAGCTCTATTTCACAACATAAATAAGCCTAAATGCACTTCTAAATGAAGAGATTGGTTGAAGCAGAGGAAAAGTTGCAGTAGTAGGGTACCCCTGTATATTCAACACCTCATACAGCAACCTGTCTTTTCTTCAATTTATGTTTCAGTTTTATATACAAATGGGCCTGTAAAAGATAGTTTACATGTTGCATTGTAAATAATGACTGTAAACGTTCAACGTCTATTTGACAGATCTAACCAAATCTGTCAGGCTTCCTATAACAGCTCATAAATAGTAACTTGCTGTAGCCACAACACATGTACGCAAATAGAAAAAAAATTGGGGAGATGGAATGTGTTACTGTTTTTTTTTTTTTTTTTTTGTCTGGTTTTCCTTTAAAAGGACCATTTCTTGGTATTTAACCTCTCGCTGTCTTTCAGGATTTGGCAACCCCTGAAGCTTTCTCTCGAGATCCTTCTTTAGTGTGGGAATTTTACCATTACAGGCGTGAGGTGGGTCACACATTACTAACTAAATGGCTACCATTATCATAATGCCACTTTTTTTTCTTTTCAGTGATCAATTCACTTTAGTAATTATACATTTGATAATGTAGTAAAATAGAAATACTTGGATTATGTTAATTAACAAATGAGACTGTTTTGCATGCTTAGAATTGCAGTGAGGAATCTAAAAGATCCAGGTGTGGCAGTGTTTATTTCTGGGCCTGAAATTAAAACAGCATCCACATGGGGGTGGAATTACTACTAAAATAGTAGATCAATTATGATTTGCACTAAAATTCAGTTGTAGGTACCAGTACCAGTAAAACATCATCTGCTTAACTTGTAAGTTTAAATATTAATACAAATGTATTTATTTTATACTACAGGGCTGTTGAATGCTTGATTCTGATTGGTTGACATGCGTTCTAAGGTGTGCAATTTATTTTCAGGGCTAAAGTAGTTGATTTCAGTTATGATTTCAGTTATTTCAAAGGTCCTTACAGACTACTGTAGCAAAAGAACCAAAATCCACAACGACACTGACCAAGAAAATAAATATAGTACACAATAGGATGAAAAGGACAACATATTTCCCTGTTTTTTGCAACAAAATAATGATTTATTATATTAGGAAAGCACATAATCTTTCTCCAGCTCTCTCACACTCAAATTATGTGCTTTCCTTATATAATAAATCATTATTTTGTTGCAAAAAATTATCAGAGCAGTGCTGACAACAACAGGTTTCTGTGCGAGTATGTGTCTCCGTACTGTGTGTATGTGTGCACACACATACACGCAGTACGGAGACACATACTCGCACAGAAACCTGTTGTTGTCAGCACTGCTCTGATAATTTTATTTATTTTATTTTCTGAGACATTTCTCACTAGCGAGGAAATAACAGTGCTGTACTTGGAGCAGATAAACTTTCGCTATTAGTAGAGACGCTGCAGCAGAACACTGTTGAGGGAGGCACAGATTCAGGTAATTCAAAGTTTGATAGTTCATGCTTGATAACTCTCTCTCTCTCTAATTGCATAAATAACTGCATTAGATTGCTATCAGTGGCTGAAGCATCCATTACTAGCTCTAAAATGACGTTTTGGAATTAGCAACGGAGGCTTGGGATTAGATGCTTAAGGAATTAGTCCTACACATAAAAGCATTTTAATTACAAAAACCTGACAAACATCTTGAAATACATCATCTGAACAATGTCTTGAGGTGTGGTAACCGTAGTATAAATAATTGCGGAATAATTGCAATAATTTTCTTCTTCTTATTCAATGGCTCGTCGTCAATTATCCCTTACATAATACTGCAATTTTTTTTTATGTATATAATACTTTCAAAATCATAAGTCATTAAGTACCTGTAGACATTTACACACTAGAGCTGCAGTTAAATTGCTTTTAATAATTATCACTAAAAAATGTTAGTGTTTGGTTCATGGTAATATATACAGGTAATGCGCAGTAAGATGCCAAACCCAGCACACCTGGCTATAGCAGAGTGCGAGTCCCGTCTCAGCCAGCAGGGGCGCTCTGTTGTGATCATCACTCAGAACATCGATGAGCTGCACCATCGCGCGGGTTCCAAACACGTCTATGAGATCCACGGTGAGACAACAACGTACATTAATTTGTGGCTAAAATCTGATTAACAGAACTGAAAATGATTGGTCATCCATTTGGAGGGTGTCCCATCTTTCTTTCCATACAATTAATCCTTCTAATTTTGGTTCTTCTCTTCAACTGATATCTTTCTCTTTTGTCTATCTCTCTCTCTAGGTAGTCTATTTAAAACTCGCTGCATGAGCTGTGGAGAAGTCAAAGCCAACCACAAGAGTCCAATCTGTCCTGCTCTGGAGGGGAAAGGGTAGAAATCACGCAAACACACCACCATTATTTTATCAAATATTATTTTAAATCACAAGAGACTGCAATCTCCTATTTGCTCCTTATTGTTTTTGTTTTTCCAATCCTCAGAGAGCCTGACCCCAATGCCAAGGATGCCAGAATACCAGTTGAGGACCTGCCCAGGTTTGTGAGCGTGTATGTTGGTAAAGACAGGGTTGGCGATTTCGGAGAGGCTAGCTTTAAAAGCATAAGTTCCCACTCTCCCTTCAGAGCGTCTCCAAAGCCACGCCTCCTTCAAAACACATAAACGCACACAGCCGAGTCTGCAAAGCTTCACGAGATGAGAGACGGCATTAAACTACCTCATGTCTCAAAGCACATAACATTTGAATAGTAATGAATGTAAACAACTTACAGAGCTTTGACTTGTACCACCTGACTGCTGCAGATTCATTTTTGGCATTGACATAGAAACGCATAAAACTGAGTCCGAGGACGTGAACAGCTCCAATAGAACGACACATGGTTGCCATTTTGTTATTATGGTTATGACATGGCATGAACTTAGCATAAGATTGTTGTTTTGGTTCAGGAGGAACTGTAAATGGCGCATGGTGACTGTGCCTCTAAAGCTCTGCATAGCCTCATGAAACGTGATGATGACGTGTGATGTTTGCCCGAGCAGGTGCACGGAGGTTTTATGGAGATACAAATGTTGACAGTCAGGTAGGACATCGTATGATTAGACAAACATTATTTGGTCCTAAAACATTCACAGAAGATATGTAAATTTAATGAAGATTTGTTTTAATATTTAGATCCCTTCTATTATTGATTGCTACCAGTATGTGAAGAGTTTCACACAGTATAATAAAAACTGGTTATTGAAGCAAATTGCCTAACCTACTTTTAAATGCAGATCAGTAGAGCGTGATGATGGGTCAGAAATTGCTGCACCTTGTAAAATGCAGCACTTTTGGGTAAATATGTAATATACATATAGTTGTGTGGAAGTCTGCGAAACCTTTTACATGGGATTTTGTAACCTTTTTTTTTTTTTTTTTTAATAAAATGAGAAATACACTTTTTTTGGGGGGTTTTGAAAGAAAATAATACTTTTATCCAGCAAGGACAAATTAAACTGATCAAAAGTAACAGTAAAAACATTTACATTTATATAAATATATATATACATTTATTAATGTGTATGCATATATATATATATATATATATATATAAACGAATCCTGAAAAACTGCATAGTGGTTTTCACTAAAACATAAAGCAACATTGATGATAATAATAAGAAATGTTTCTTCAGAACCAGTGTAATGTATATTCAAATATAAAACAGCTGTAATTGTTGTCATAATATTTCTCATATACAACTCTTAGACTGCTTCCACTAAAAATTTTTAAGAACATCACCCACTCCTGCCTACAAAAAAATCAGGAATTATGTTGTGCTGCAATAAATCTAATCAGATACTGGTGGAATGCATACCTCCAGTTTTCTTTATTGTAAACATATTTTAAGGCTGTTTAATGTAGTGAAGGAGGGAGGGAGGGTAGTCATGTAATACAAAATTACGACTGTTTTGATCCAAGAAACCTCGACACACATTATAGACTTCAGGGGTAAATAAAAAAAAAAAAAAAAAAAGATAGAAAGATCCCTGTAGAAATTGTCAAGCTTTTTAGATTAGTAACACCTTTTTTCCAACAGTGGGCAGCAGATATCCATGTGTCTATTTATGCTTCATGTTCAAAGATGTTAGTTTTGCACTTTTTGTTTGTAGGTGTGAAAAGAGGGGCTGTAATGGCTTGCTGAGGCCTCATGTGGTTTGGTTCGGAGAGACTTTGGATTCAGATATTCTCACCGCTGTGGAGGAGGAGCTGGAAAAGTGTGATCTCTGTTTAGTGGTGAGTGACCACACATGCATGCATAACACTGCAGAAATTATGTATAGAACTACATACCCACAAAGCATTTATGGACATCAAGACTGTGACAGAAGCTACAGTGTAAGCTGCAACATTATTTTGCCTTCCTTAATACGTCATTTCAAAGAAATACAAAATTAGCATCACATTTAGCTTATACTTAAGTATCAGATTGTTGGCTTAGCAACAGGCCAGCATCAGACTCCACTGGAATTAATTAGTTGAGATCAGTTATAGTCAGAAATTACGTCAAGTAAAGTTTCATGAACTTTCAGAGAGTCATACTGTATCTTGATTCTGTTAACTTAAATCAGTGAAGGATTCATCAGACTGATTCAAATCAGTAAAATGAATCATTTAAAGAAGCTGCTCAAATGAGTCATTTGTGTTTGTGAATCGGATTTTGCTGAGTTTGTTTTTGATTTTATTTCCTCATATTAGATCTGGCAAGTTTTGCAAATCAAGACCGAAAAAAAAAAAAAAAAAAAAACATTTTCAAATCGGGTACATTTTGATTTTGGGTAAAATGTGTTTGTTTTTTTCATTGCAGGAAATACTGGCATAACTGCAATAGAAATCATGCTCATAAAATTATTACTGGTTAACATATTAGTTTATTGTTTTAACCAGTTTATGGCCCACTTCTATTTGTAAGGTTTAAAGAAGAAAATTAAGTGTTATTTATATAGTGGCTTTCCGTAGATCAAGGTCACTTTACATTGTACATTACAATACATTAACAAACCCAGACGCATAAGGACACGTATAGCCACATTATCCAAAATACATGTTAAACAGATATGTTTTTTGCTGAGTCTTGAAGGTTGCCACAAATGAGGTATTACGAAGTTTAGAGAGTTTAGTTAGAATGCCGCCTAACAGCTCACTAGGTTTTAGTGCCTGCCTAAAACATTTACTACACAATTTCATCAATTCCAAACACAGTTGTGTGTGTTTTGACTGCTTTACGTAAAGAATTTGTCATCTCCAACTGTATTCTGTGTGCGTAACATTGTTTTCCTTTCTCCAGGTGGGCACCTCCTCCATAGTTTACCCAGCGGCCATGTTCGCTCCTCAGGTGGCGAGTAGAGGTGTGCCTGTAGCTGAATTCAACATGGAGTGCACACCTGCTACTAAGCGCTTTAAGTAAGACACACAAATACACAAACTATCTAACATGAGTCATAGAGATGCCTCTCAGTCAACCGGTTTAAGAGGAAAACGCATAGATGCTCTAGCGCACACAAGCTTTCACATGCGCATGGACTCTAAGTGATACATTTGAGCAAACAATGAACCATAGAAATTGAACACCTGTGTGTGGTTTATTTGAGATGTGTTTCTCACCAACAGATATCACTTTGAGGGTCCTTGTGGCACCACACTGCCTCCCGCCCTCGAACGGCACGAGAGTGAGCCCATTTAAGGAGAAAGAAGGCATGACCCATCCGTTCATGCCCACTTTGACTGAGAGCACACGAACAGGGATTGGTTCATGCCTTCATGTGATTGGTTTTCCTATGGCTTATGTGCTCAACTATGAAGATTTACAGCAAAATTTAGCCGAATTTACATTTTAAGTAATGTATTTGCTTGGCGTATTTGGCAACATATTGTGAAAGTTGTGTGTTCACAACTGTTTAAATAAATAATGTATTAATTTAAAATTAAATTACCATAAAATAAAGTGTTCTATGGCTGAAGATTGATTATCCTTCAAATTATTTGGTTTGAGTTAGTTTTTCCAGATAATATTTGTGTTTGTGATTTAAAATATGATCAAATAAAAAGCTCTACACAGTTTGGTCAATTAAATGTATATCAATATGTTTATAATATAATAATTATATTAAGTTTTGAATTATGATTATGGTGATTATTATTATTACAGTAAAAATAAAAAAAAACACAATACTAACATTTATTTTGGTGGAAAACTACAGGAAGTGCAGCACAGATATTGAATTGAATCTGAGCCTTTAAGCTATAATTTTGATTAATCGTGCAGATCTAGTTTTAGATTTTTATATGAAATTTGTCTGAAATTAAATTTTAAATAGAGCTTTTTAAATAGAGCTTTTTTCCGCTGTTGGTATGTGTACAGTATGTTGCAGATGGAGGATTTTTTTTTTTTTTTTTTTGGTCAAAGTCAATAGGCGAATTTGAGTGAGTCTGTGTTTATTTGTGCGCACACACCCTGTGGCATTGGGTCACCTTGATTCTGTCTAGTCCAATGCCAATTCCATGATTTCCAGCTGGAAATCTCTCTCGCGTTCTCTCTCTACATTTATACAAAATGTAGAAAAGCTACATTTTGTTTTACACTTCCTAGTCTAACTACAAATTCGCACTTGCATGTTAACACAGGACTGTGGAATAATGCTGAGAGAGTCGCTTGACTTATTTGACTTACAAATGTGCAACAGAATGCATGTTTGTGTATAAGAAATTGAATGTGTCTTCAGCTACACTGTTTAAAATGCTTTTTTGGTTGGTATTTATGCGTGTGAGATTGGTGAGGGGTGGGGGGTACGTCTGTGTTTGTAAATGATAAATGAGTGTGTAGTTTTGAGGTGTGTAACCGATAGTGTGTGTGGATTTGGTCTCCTGGAGAGAGAGGCTCATTAGTTTCTGAGGCGATGAGAGAGGTCTGCTCCAAAAATAACACACACCATTTCCTGTCCATTAAACCACAATTTCACACCAATCTGAGCTTAACGACGTACACGCGCACGCATGCACAATAAATATCTCCCCCGACATACGCTTAGCCTCTAAAATCCTCTGAGATCCATAACATCAATCCTACACACACATACAAGCACGGCCCCATTAAATATCGATTTCACACCAATCTGAGTGTCTCCCTAGTCTGGGCTTGTTGGATGACAGGGATAGGGCAATGCAGGAGGATAGGGATGAAGTAATGGATGGGAGGACAATGCAAGTGGGAGAGACGTATGGTGTGATATGGATCTTGTTGTTTTTCTGCATAGTAATTTAACTTTTTTTCATATTTTGCCCTACATGAGCTTCCTCCCGGGTTAGTGACATCACCAACCCTAAAATGTATATAAACCCCGCCCACAACAGTTTCTATATGAGCGATTTATAGATGAGCGATTTCCTGGATGAAAATAACAGGAAATTTAAAAATGATAATTTCTAGGCCTAGATAATCATTAAGTCATTCATATTAATAAATCCTTGGAAAGCCGATTGAAATCTCTTTTGTGAATATTCATTTTATTAGTATTATCTACTCCAAAACATTTAATCAGCTAAATTCTGAGTGAACAAGTAGCATTGTGTGTGTGTGTGTGTGTGTGTGTGAGAGAGGCAAAAAGTCACAATTAACCGTTTATTTTCTTAATACGTATTAAAGGGGTGGTAAAGTATGATTTGACTTTTCTAACTTTAGTTAGTGTGTAATGTTTCTGTTTGAGCATAAACGACATTATCAAAGTTACAACGCTCAAAGTTCAAAGCAAAGGAAGATATTTTCTTTTAAAGAAATCGTTTTTTAAGGACTACAACAAACGGCTGGTAGGAACTACATGAGCTTCCTCCCGGGTTAGTGACATCACCAACCCTAAAATGTATATAAACCCCGCCCACAACAGTTTCTATATGAGCGATTTATAGATTATCATGACAGAATATGCTAATTGAAGATAGTTAACTCTACATCAGCAACACAAATTCATCAACTAACCATTCAGAGACGTCCTGTTGCATTCAACATGCATTGTCACTTATGCTCGAGTCTCTCCATCTTTGCCTGACTCTGTTTTAACATTAAAGGCAGAACAGTTTCTATCATTTTAGTGTGTCTGCATGAGGAAATCAGCTGCTAATGCACATGGGCTCTTGAAACCCCGCCTTCTTGCAGCAGCTCATTTGCATTTAAAGGGCCAGACACAAAACGATGCGTTTTTGCAAACAAAAAAAGTGACAACTTTAACATGCTATATAAAAATATCTGTGGGGTATTTTGTGCTAAAACTTAACACACACACTCTTGGGACATCAGAGATTTATTTTACATCTTGAGAAAATGGCATTTTACCACCCCTTTAATTATCCCGGTTGTGATCTTCCATCAATACATTTTTTTTTTTTAAATGACCATGTGATCTTTAAAGGGGTCATGAAGGTTTTTTTTTTTTTTTTATATTGTTGTCTGAGGTCAACTTATGACATTCGCTTGGTTTTTACATTAAAAAAGATCAAAATGAATAAGTAATATGCTATTTTCTACCCTAGTTTTGAGCCCAGCTCAAAAACGCTCGGTTTTTATGGCCATCTTGCATTGAAGACTTGGAAGTAAACGCCCACTGCTGTGAATGGATAACAGTTTTGCATATTGTAATGAGTTTCACTCTCGATCCGGTTTGTCATCACGAGATAGGCCTATGTTAGTTAGCTATGTGTGTAATACGCGAATCGGTGGGCAGGGCTAAACCGGCCGTGTTGAAGTAGGCGTTGATCTTCTTCTGCGGGGGTGGTGTTTTATCCTCTTTGACGTCATAGTTCCCCACTTTTAAAAACGAGTTGTTTCCTGAGGCTGGTGTCAATAAAAGCTTTTATTGGACTAACAAGGACGTTTTCAGTTCTGAAACTTACAGGATATTCTTATAATATGATGACCTCTTAGATGTCAAAAGCTCAAGGAAAATTTGATTTCTCCATTCATCGCCCCTTTAAAAAAAATAACATAACTTACTGTAATATGACAGAGTTCTCTGTTGACGTTTGCAAGGTCACACTGTAGCCAGTTGCATTCAGATCTGTCTCCATTCTGATATGAAAAGCTCACAGTCCAATCAATTACCAATAATCAATCTATGAAATTAATCCCACCCTACATTTTTTTTTCCTGTTCGATAATGTATTTCACTCAGACGTGTATTGAATTATTTATTATTATTATTATTATTTATTATTATTATTTTTTTTTTGAATTTATTGTTAAGGATAACCCCTTGAGATGAAACATCTCATTTTCGAGGGGGTCCTCGAGACAAAAACAAAGATAATACAACACATATTCATTCACTCACACTAAAGCCCCTACCCGCCCATCCCTCCAGGCCCACCAACTCCTTATTGGAAACAAATCCATATATAAAACATATTGCAGTATTAAGATGCATGACAACATTTAGCCCTTACATACACATATGTCTATACACACATACATAATGTATACACGCATCTACACCCATATTTGTACACATAAATAAAAAATAAAATAAAAATTAAATAGAAATAAAATATTTGTCCCAGATATAAGGGGTATATGAAACAATGTCCAGTCACACATGAGGAAAACATTTCCAGCAACAGTTTGCTTACAAGTAAAGAGAGATATTTTGAAGGAACGCAATGATGTGACAGATCTTAGAGACTTAACTATTGGAAGTTAAGTTTGCCACAATTTCCATTCCATGCCAAATTTAAAAATCCCTGCCAAGTCATCATTAGAGGCTGAAAAAAAAAACACTGCACTATCCGGCCTCAGAAAGACGTTTTCTTTCAAATAAGATAACCATAAAATATTAAAATAAAGCGTCAGTGGGTTTCAATATATGTGATTAAAAGTTGATGAGTGCAGAGAAGGGTGTAGTCCAGGTTAGAACGAGGTCCGGAAGTCACATGTGGTCTCTTCGTGGTCTGGCGACTCCTTGATCTTCTCTTTGACAGGTCCTAGAAGGGAATGTTAGGGGATTCTTACTGCGCACTTTATTTTTTCATATTTAAAATTATGCTCCTTTTATTTAAATTAAATGGCTCTCTGAGCCACAAGGGCATCATTAAGGAAAAATGAAACTGAATCTTTATTTATAGTAAGTGAACAACAAGGAGCAATGGGATTTATTTCCATTACTGTCACGTTCTGTGGCCATAAAATGTTACATATTACATATTACATTGACAGTCCCCCTGGAGCAACTTGGGGTTAAGTGTCTTGTTCAAGGGCACAATTGTGAAGACACATGGGTCTCTTCTAATGGCAATCAAACCCAAAACCTTCCATGTTACGGCTTGAGCCTTATCCTCTACTCCAAACCCTTGTTTTTTGCAATCTCACTATAACGCTTCACCAGTCAACGGCACACAGGGAGGTCTGTAACACATGGACAAAGTTATCTGTTTGCATTCTCAACAACAATCCCAATGCTCCTAACCCCCAACTTTGCTCGAAGATATTTTTTAACCCAGTCCTGAGCTATAAATGCCTGGTGACTTATAACATGATTGGCTAAAGAAATAGTTTCTGAAACTGAGACGAATATACTAATGGATCGCTCTCATCAGGTTTATTAGACCTCCTTGGTGAAGGGCAACTGCAAGGGCACAGGGATGATGTTGACAGCGCCGAAGCCTGAGGGGACAATAGTCCAAGACAGATGTTAAGGGTACTCGTGAGGTCATTTGGGTCTCTATTTTTCTTTAGCTAAACTCGAAAGCTTAGCTTCTACTGACTAGGCATCTCTGCAATTAGCCAAAAGCCATTCCCTATCCCCTATATGGTGCACTATGTGCCATTCACCATTTAGAAAATAGTTTAGTGACATTTCAGATTCTAGAGAGCATTTGATTGGACAGGAAATCTGATGAGAAGCTGAAGTGCAGAGTGACTTTAAATCTATTAATGTACTTTTAAGAAAGACAACCCATGCTTCAAGAAGATTCACTGTAACAA